ACACTTGTGATATACAGCTAGACCCCGACTTACGACTACGTGGACTTACGTCCATTGGTACTTACGACCTGCTTTGACCGTACGTCCATACGGGACATACGACTGCGACCGTCGAGACCAAAAATATTTTCAAATGACGCGCGCATTTTCTATACCGAAACGTTTCCGTCCCGGGCGAGAGGGAGGGGTGTCTTGGGTCGCCTTGTGGGTACACTCACTCAGTGGAGCGCTTTGTTTGTGTTTGGCTATCGTATCCTATACTGATCGCGCTGTGAACTTTCGTTATTATCGTATTTAATTGACTTTATAATGACTGGAAAGCGTAAAAGTGAGAGTGCTGGTGGTGCTCCAAGGAAAAGGAGACAGGCAATTACTTTTGAGATGAAACTGAAGATAATAACACAGCATGAGAATGGAAAAACAGTAGCAACAATCTCACGCGACCTAGGTTTCTCACACTCGACTATATCCACTATTCTGAAGGACAAGGAACGTATTCGTGAAGTAGTGAAAGGAACAACACCTATAAAGGGAACTATAATATCAAAGAAAAGACAAGGTCCTATCCACGATATGGAAAAATTATTGGTGATATGGATAGAAGACCAGATACAGAAGCGTGTACCCTTAAGCCTTCTAACCATACAGGCTAAAGCAAGAAGCCTGTTCCAAAGCCTGAAGGAGCAGGCAGGAGATGAATGTGATCAAACCTTTACAGGAAGTCATGGGTGGTTTGATAGATTTAAAAAACGCTACAGTCTACACAATGTTAAGGTGAGTGGAGAGGCAGCTAGTGCCGATGTTGGTGCTGCCGAAGCTTTTAAGGAGGAGTTAGATGATGTGATTGTGGAAGGGAATTATTTGCCTGAGCAAATATTCAATGTGGATGAGACTGGATTATTGTGGAAGTGCATGCCTGAGCGGACATACATCCACAAAGAGGCAAAAACAATGCCAGGATTCAAGGCATTCAAGGACAGAATTACACTTCTGTTGGGGGGGAATGTTGCTGGTTTCAAGCTAAAGCCCTTCATGATCTATCATTCAGAGAACCCCAGGGCTTTTAAACATGTCAGCAAGCACACACTGCCAGTGTTTTATCGCAGTAATAAGAAAGCCTGGATGACCCTAGCACTGTTTGAGGATTGGTTCATGACTTGTTTCATTCCACGAGCCAAGGAGTATTGTCTGCAACAACAGATTCCATTCAAGATTTTACTGATTTTGGATAATGCTCCGGGACACCCACCACACCTGGACGACATGCACCCTGATGTTAAGGTAGTCTATATTCCACCTAACACTACCTCTATCATCCAACCCATGGATCAAGGTGCTATTGCTGCCTTTAAAGCGTATTATTTACGCACGACCTTTGCTCAGGCTGTTGCTGCTACTGAAGGTGAGAAAACGCTCAGAGAAGTTTTGGAAGGAGTACAACATTTTGTCATGTATAAAGAACATTAGTGCAGCATGGGATCAGGTTACAAAACATTGCATGAATGGAATATGGAAGAAAATCCTGAAAAGATATGTGAACAGTTTCAAAGGATTGAATGAAAATGAAGTTATTTCGGATATTAGTAACAAGATAGTGGAGTTAGGTAAACAGCTGGAGTTAGAAATTGATAATGATGATGATGGACAGTTGGTTGAAAGTGTAGCAGAAGAGCTCAGTAACGAGGATCTTATTGAACTAGATGCACAGAATATTTCAGAGGAAGAAGAGACACAAAATGTAGAAGAAGAGAACCTGCACCCCCCAAAAAGTTTTCAGTGAAACAAATGGCAGAGGCATTTGCTACAATTAATAAAGGAATGCAAATGTTTGATGGCATGGATCAAAATTATGAGCGTTATGCCAAAGTTGACAGAATGATCCAACATGCACTTGCTTGCTACAGAGAAATTTATAATGAAAAGAAAAAAACAAACTGTGCAGTCTAAATTGGACATTTATTTTAAGAAGTCCCCCAGTGCTGTCTCCTCACGCCCCATCAGTGCTGCCTCTTCACTCCCTCAAGATGATCCAATACCTTCAACCAGCAAGTTTCCACAGCACATAAACCTGTCTGAAGAAAGTGACATTGATGACCCACCCAGCCCTGTCTCCTCTTCTGCTTCTTCCAATTAATATAGTCTCCATGTATCCTGTAAATAGAAAATTATGGGGGCTGTGTGCGCATTCAGCTGACTACATTAAAGGTAAGTGCTCAGTCACACTATCCATTCCTCATTATTTATTACTTTTACTGTACTGTATTTCATTGTATATTTTTTATTTATTTATTAATGTTTTTAAATTACATTTTTTTTTATGTATGTCGGACTTATGACCAATCGAACTACGACCTGGATTTGGGTCCCTAACCCCGTCGTAAGTCGAGGAGCACCTGTACTTTGATGTTAACTAGCAATTCTGAAAAGTTGAATGATATCAATACCAAATGTAGTAAGTAAAAAAGAGCTCATAAATATCAGCAAATTTGACTTTCATTTCCATGGGAAATCTTAAGTTCCTGGGAAAATGTAAAATCGTTAATTCTTTGAAAACCACTAATTTCCAAAGGAAATGAAGGTCATATTTGAAGAAAACACACCAAGATACACCAGAGAAATAAGTTCTCATGTGAAAAACACAAATACTGGCTTACTATGGCTTACAGACTTCCTCAGTGACCGATGCCAAGCTGTACGCTTCCGAGGGGCTGTCTCCACCTTTCAGTCACTCACCTGTGGCTTCCCCCAAGGCACCAAGATGGGACCACTCTGCTTCCTTATGTTCATCAATGATGCCCTAAGAGAAACCCCCGCTCGCTGGAAATATGTCGACGACTCCACCATTGGGATCAGCGTCAACAATTCTGCTCCCAACTATACCGCCCTTCAGGATTTATTGCACAGTCTCCAAAACTGGGCCACCAACAACCATGTCACCATCAACCATACCAAGACCATGGTTATGCACATTAACCTCTCCTCCGACATTGTCCCACCTCCTTCCATTACTTTAGGTCCGAACACACTCCAGGTTGTAGATTCCACGAAGCTCCTCGGCGTCACCATAGACAACAAACTAAATTGGAAACCACACGTCAGTGAAGTTGTCAAATCCTCCAGTTTCCGTCTCCACCTCCTCCGCCGACTCAAGTCCCTCGGAGTTCCTGCACCCGAGCTGCTCAGTGTTTACACAACATTCATACTTCCCAAGCTCACCTATGCCTCCCCACCTGGTCTTCCTCCCTAAATGCCACACAACGTAAACACCTAGAAAAAGTGCAAAAGAGGGCATGCAAGATTATTCTCTCCCTTCCTACTCCACATATCAAGAAGCGCTCAACACACTGACCCTTTCGACTCTCACTGACCATCACCACGACCTCATCTGCAAATTTGGTAAGAAGCTTCTACACCATCCTCGACACCGGCTCCTACTACCACCTGAGATCCCTAGCCCGAGAATTGCTGTTCGACACCACAACCGCATCCAGCCCATACGTGCACGAACTGATCGCTATAAGAACAGCCCAGTCCCAACCATTGTAAAAATTATCAATAACTTGTAATAGACCAGTGTATTCACTCCCAGTAAATACTACTTCTTGCACTGTCACTATGTTGAAATGCCCTGTAGTTTGAGCTTTTCCCCATCTAGTTATTATATATCTTATTTGTATCACTTATGTTACTTGTATATTATTTATAATTCGAAACCCATTCCCCAAATATGTAACTGTATATTTTCAGCCTTCTGGCTGCCAAGCTCTTTCAATAAACCGTTAATTATTATTATTATTATTAACCACTCTTAACCAAACCAATAGATAGTGAAACTGCAATTTTACTGGCTTGGCTAGGTTGTTTGATTGGGTTAGGTTAGATTAACTTCCATTTTTGCTCATGTGCAGGGGTGGTGGTGTAGGAGTTTCTTATTGGCTATAGCGATAGGAGACTTATAATTGGGCAAGAGTTTTTTGTCTTAGCCAATGAATAATACGTGGGTGCGTCGGGAGCGGAGATTTGATTTTTCAGTACCAGAATAACCGGATATGGCTGAACAGGTGGAAAGAGCTGTGCCAACATTGTGATACATTATTTTATGTCAATTGCAGTTTCATCAGAAAAATAGTGTTAGGTTAGGTTTTGTTAGGATGTTGGTTTTTTATTTATGTGATTTACTCGAAAAATAAAATACATTTTCATTAAGATTGATGGGTAAGGTGGGGTGGAGGGATCTAAAAAACTATTGACTTCGAGCTGAAATGAATATCAAATTCGTTCGAAACTCATAAAATAACATCGGAAAAACGACCGGTGTATTAGTGAAAAATTACCTTATTTTTTAATATCCAAAGACAGAATGGTGCCTTTCTATAAATTTACCGAAGTTTTTTGTTTTTCTTTTTAACCTATCATTTTACCTCTTCTTCAAACCTACTTTAGTATAAATCGTGGACCTAATTGTCATACAAAATTACACGTACCTCCATAAAACCAACCCCGCCTTTACCCCAGGATTAATTGCAGTAAATAAACGATGATGAAGTAATGCAACCAAACCCCCTTCCTGGGACTTGTGGTTTGTTGACATTCGTGGATCGTCAAGTCAACTGCCAACTCGGATGCAGGATTTACGCTCCAATGGTGCCAAAGGTGTTTTTTTTTTTTTTAAATCCCAGTTAGGGAAATTGTGTCATAAGATTGTATTAAATATTCTAAAGTTACTATTTTCTATATCGGTAAAATGTTTTTATGATATTTTTAGGTTTTGTGACTTTTGTAAGTGGTCAATGACATTTGGCACATGTGGTTGAGGTATCTCATGACATCACATGTTTTCGAGTGTACTATATAGTTTCAGTGAACAAATATTAATCTATTTATTATACACTTCATCTGAATTGCCCAAACCCCACTTCCTAAGCTTACTAACACATGTTTAGAGCATTCTCTTGGACTGATGCTTAGTCTTCAATAAATTTGAGCGTGGCTAGAATAAGAGTATTTTTAATCCCTGCTATTGACAATTCTGGAATTTAGAACATACTGTAACACTAATACTCAGGGATCATAGTTCCTATTGGTCCATGACTTGCGCTGAATGCTGGTATAGCGTGGGAAGTACTGAGCTATTCTGCTGGTGTTGGGAAAAAATTATTGGTCGATTCAGATCATATCACATCACGGTAAGAGTGAAGCTGATACTCATTTTGTTCTTCAGTTGAGTGCAAATAACTGTATGTACTAAGGGTTGTGTGGTAGTATATAATCCTCCAATAGATGTTGCTGGTAACGTGACCCTTCCAAACATCACAGGTTTCCAGGACACACTTGATCGACCAACCACACGATAAGTGGTGAAATTATCATGAATAAATAAATAAACACGGATTACGGCGGCACTTTAGAACCTGCACAACTGGGTACTGGGGTCATCACTGAGCTCGCCCCAGTCTGTCATGTTTAGGCATTATCAAAACAAAGTCCTGACAATGTCATCACTTCTAAATTTACTCTTGTCTCCATCTAGTACTGTAAATGCACTGAAAAAAGAAGAGATAGTCTATCAGGTAAGAATACATGACAGCTGAACTGGTGTGAACATGGGAGTTAAGAACATAAGAATGGAGGAAACTGCAGCGGGCCTATTGGCCCATACTGGGCAGTCCTGTTTACACCCAACCCCTATTGCTCATATAAGCATCCAACCTATGTTTGAAGCTATTCAGCGTATTCGAGTTAATGATGATATTTGGTAACTTGTTCCATTCATCCTCTACTCTGTTTCCAAACCAGTGTTTACCTATTTCACGCCTAAATCTAAATTTGTCTAATTTAAAACCATTGTTACGAGTTCGCTCCTGGTTGGATAGTTTGAGTACCTTTATAATGTCCCCTTTGTTTAGCCCTGACTTCCATTTATACACCTCTATCAGGTCGCCCCTCGCTCTACACATTGTTTACTTGGCTTAAGGTTCCTACTTATCATTACTCCAAAATCTCTCTCGCAGTCGGATTTCTCTATGACATCGTTGTTCATCTGGTATCTGGTTTCCCTGTTTACATCTCCTATACTGAGTACTTTACATTTGTCCACGTTGAATTTCATCTGCCATTTTTCAGACCATTCGAAAAATTTGTTTAGATCTTCCTGTAGTTTTGCGGAGTCCTCGTCAGATTTAATAACACGTCCTATTTTAGTGTCATCAGCAAATTTACTTATGTTGCTGTCTATGCCGATATCTATGTCGTTTATGTATATAATAAATAATAATGGTCTAAGTACTGAGCCTTGGGGAACTCCACTAGTGACGTTGCTCTAATGGGACTTAGTGCCTGAATGCTCACTCGCTGTTTCCTGTCCTGTAACCACGCCCTAATCCATTTAATGATATTACCTTTGATGCCATGTGCTTCTACCTTTCTAATTAGTCTTTCGTGGGGGACTCTGTCGAAGGCTTTGCTAAAGTCGAGATATACCACATCATAATTGTGCCCTTCGTCCACCGATTCGAAAACTGATGAAAAGAATGTTAATAGATTAGTTAGACATGAACGCCCGCTTGTGAAGCCATGTTGGGAATCATTGATCAACGTGTGCTTCTCCAGGTGGTTTTGAATAGTTTGAAATGATTGATTCAAGTAATTTGCCTACTGTTGATGTTAGGCTGATTGGGTGGTAGTTAGAGGATAGCGATCTATTCCCCTTCTTGAAAATCGGTATTACATTCGCTATCCTCCAGGATTCTGGTACTACACCTGTTTATAAGGACATGTTAAACAAATTTGCTTAAGGCATACTAAGCTCTTCCTTACATTCCTTTAATAGTCTGGCAAATATCTCATCGGGACCAGGTGACTTATTAGGCTTTAGTTTGTCTATATGCTTATTAACATCGCTACTAGTCACTACTATCTCGCTTAATTTGTTTTCTTCACTATCTCTGAATAGAGTCGGTACCTCGGGTATCATGTTTACATTTTCAGTGGTGAAAACCGTTGAAAAATATTTATTAAAATTATTGCTCATTTCTCCGTCGTTGTCAGTGAGCTCGCCGGTATCTGACCGTATTGGTCCATCTTTTCTCGTGTTTTAGTTTGATACATTTGGTAGAATCCTTTGGGGTTTGTCTTTGCCTCCCTTGCTATCCTTACCTCATTATTCCTCTTGGCTTTCCTTATCTCGGTTTTAACCCTACTTGCCAATACCCTATAATAATCCTGGAGGTAAATTTCGCCATGATTTATCCTTCTACCTATAGCCTTCCTTTGGCCAATGATGTTCTTTAAATAATTATTTATCCATTTAGGGTCATTGTTGTCTGATCTGAGTTTTTTGTATGGTATGTTCTGCCTTTGTGCATTAAGTAACTCATTATTTAAATTGTTGTGGAACTCGGCTATCTCAGATCTCGTTATCAGGTCGGTGTCATCTGTCAGGTTCACGCCCAAGCGCGACACCCCTTCTCTCAGCTGCCTCTTTAAACTGTCTAAGTTTGCCCTTTTGAAATTTGGTACTTTAGTGGAATTTTCCTTACGTCTGCCCTGAAAATCTAGCTGGAATCTAATTTCTTTGTGATCGCTGTTTGCAAGTTCGTTCCCTACCTCGACATTGCTAATGAGGTTTTCTCTGTTCGACCGAACTAAATCGAGTATATTACTACCCCGGGTGGGTTCGGTTATATGTTGACTTAGGAAACAGTCCTGGATGGTTTCGAGAAAATCCTCTGATTCTGAGTTACCCGTAAGGTCAGTCCAATCTATTTGGCCAAGGTTAAAGTCGCCTACTACACAGACTTTGTTGTGTATGGAAGCCTTGCGCATTTCATCCCAGATAAGTCTCTCATTGACTCAAGCAAGATTGGGAGGTCTATATATTACTCTTGTGATTAATTTTTCCCTACCGTCGATTAATTCTATCCAAATTGTTTCTGTATTCCGCTCAGTTTTTATTTCCCTATTTATTTCACACTTCAGATTATCCCTGACATAGATTGCTACTCCGCCTCCTTTCCTGGTCTGCTTATCGGTATGTAACAATTTGTAACCCGTAATTTGGTATTTGACTGGTAACTCACGTGAGTCTAGGTTGATCCATGTTTCAGTGAATGCTATTATGTCCTAATATCATTCATTTTGTTTCTCATGCTTCTACTGTTCTCGTAGTAGACATTTAAGTTAGTCGTGTTCTGAGTCCTCCCTTTACCGCGTTTAGGTTTAAACTCCCTGTCTGCTTTAGTTTTGTCATCATTCCTAACACTATTTCCCTGTAATCTTTCACTTTGTTTACCCGCTCCCACGACCTGGATTTGGGTCTCTAACCCCGTCGTAAGTCGGGGAGCACCTGTATATATAATTACGTGTACATAGCTAATATTCTAGCAGGATTATTATTTCTTCACTATGATCTTAATTTATGTGACCAATGGGTTGTCGGTTGAATAAAATTGTCTGGCATCAGCAAGAACAAGATAATAAAAGTAAACTCCACATGGAGCTGGGGTTCATATAGGTAGGTTTAACACTTGTTCATTTTCTGAGATCACCATGTACTATTTTCAAATGCTTTGTGTAAATTGATTAACATTAAAGGTACTAAAAAATATTTGATGTCGGATTTATTTTTCTCGGTCATTAACGAATTATAGTACTGTACTTACTGTACAGTATATAAAGAGTTAAAAATTTCAGTCACAAGATCTTCATCGTTATTATTAACCTTCCATAAATATGGTTATCTCCGAAGGAAAAAAGAAAATGAGAGGTAAAAATTGGAAGATTGAAACTGAGTGGGGCAACGTGGAAGCGAGTCCTGACGTCACTGTGTGGGCTGTGCTTATTTTGGTCCTCTATCTGGCTGACCTGGGTATGGTTGGGTCCTGGGTTCACCCTGCTGAAGGCGGTCGAGTGCAGTACCGGCTATGCTGCCTCATTAGTATATCGTGTGTTGTATCCAAGTTCCACACTGTCCTTAACGGGCAGTCATGCCTATGGGATCCACTTACATGGTTTTCTATTCCATAACTTAAGCTGGTAGACTGTTCCATATGACTACCACTCTGTGATAGGCCTGTGGGGTTTCGTGATGTGGAATCGCACATAGGATGGAGGTGAGAAGGGAAACTCAGCTATGGCGGTTCTCTTATATAAATATTATACAGTGGGGTATGCTATAACGAATCTTATTGGTTCTAGAACCTTGTTCGTTATAGCATTCGTTCGTTATAGGATTAATCCGTTCCAGGCCACCAAATACAACCACTTAACACTGAAAAATATAATATAAAATTGTAAAAATTGTAAAAAAGTGCATAAATATGCATCTAAACCCCTGAAATAAAGAATATCATTAATACTTGTAATAAAAAAACAATAAATTAGTAAAAAAAAAAAAAAAATAATGTTCGTTGTAGGAGTTTCGTTCGTTATAGCATTCTCAATTTTATAGGTAAAACCGTTCGTTAAAGGAATATTCGTAGTAGAATCCATTCGTTATAGCATACCCCACTGTATACAAAACAGTCTGGTGCAGGGAAGTTGCTGCGTGGTAGAAGAGTTGCTGTGCAGGAGCTTCTTTAGAGGAGGTGTTGCGTGTTGCAGGGCTCTAGCTAGAATGTCGACTTCATGGCGAGACTGGGAGCTTATATACACGTCCAGTGGACGTAGAACGGAAGTAAGCGTCGCTGGTGTCGATCCCCCCCCACCTAGTCTAGACAGCGAGGCTTGTCAGAGAAACTTGGCGCGACTCTAGGTGGCTCGGCTTGTAAGAGGAACTTCGTTGTAGGGGAGAGTATCCACTACAGGCCAGTTATACCTATGGGACTCACTTTTACCCTTAGGAGACATTATAGCAACAAATAGGCGAGCAGGGGCAAAAAGTTAGAATTTGAGGCAAGATTTCTGTAAATAGCCTGAAACTGTATTTTATACTGCAACCATTATAGTTATTTTACACTGAATTTTATTTGCCGACGAACTAGCACATGGTACTACAGGGTGTAAGTTGAATAAGAATTCTTTAATAAAAAATAAAGGCAATGTTTCCAAATATCAACATCAGGTTAAACGACGTAATTGATATGCGATGCCATAAAAAATTCCCTAACCTAGCAAATTACGTATAGTACGTGAGTTATCCCCAGTTGCCATTATTCTGGTTTATTTTTCAGAACCAATGGCGTCCAGAACCGTCCCCTCGTCGCAGAATCAGCCTGTTAAGAGCGGTGGCTGTAAGTGGCTGGTGATTGGCCTATCAGGAGTAACTGGTGGAGGAAAGACCACTTTGGCCACTCAGCTGATAGCTTCTCTCCCTACCACCACCGTGTATCTGTGTCAAGATGAATACATCCTCCCTGACCATCACCAAGCACACCTCAAGGTGCCCGAGCCACTGCAGGGCCCTAACAAGAATTCTCTATGTAGCGTTGATATGACGAAAATGATAGCTGACATCAAGCATATCCTATTGACAGATAGTGCAGACATTAACTTGGTTGATTTTATTGGCCTAGAAGACAGAGGTAAAGTTATTGGGCAAGGTTTAAACACACCTAGACCACCATTCAGAGGACACAAACAAAGGTCGCATTGGCCATCATTGTTGCTTTTGGACGGGTTCCTACTCTTCAACCACCCAGAGGTGCCTCTAATGTGTGACCTCCTATACTTTATCACACTGACCAAGAGGCAGTGCTTGGAGAGGAGGAAGATGAAAGTGTTCACCTCTTCCAGTTTGAGCACACAGCAGTACTTTGAATTATGTGCCTGGCCGCAGTACGAACGGCACTTTACCGACATGTGTGAGTCGGTCAAGGGCATTCACTTTATTGACGGTGAATCACCTCGTCATGCCGTGTATAAAAGGGTTTTCACTGACATAATGAATATGTTAGACAGGGATGACTGTCAGAAACAAATATGATGACCCACCATTGTTTTTGCTGGATTCGTGTTTTTCACGGATTCATTTTGCATAATATGAAATTAACCAAAATATTTGCTAAATATTGTAATTTTAAAGAAAGATCAAGTTAAAGCTATGATGTGAGGAATGTTTCTGTGGGTCATGTGGGAATGAGACAAGATTATTGATGTATTTTTAACATTCTTAACCATCAGAGATAATGTGTATACAAAAAAAGAAGTACAACTTAAATAATACATACAATTACTTAGGATGAAATAACACGTATATGCATCACACTTCCTGTTGTCAAGTTCGTATCAAGAGACTACATACTCAAGACAGGAATGAGTGTAGAATAGTCGGTAATAATACTAGCTAGAACCGCAAGGCAGTGACGTCATTTTATGTAGCTCAGAATTAGAATGGTGCGGCAATCGTACTTATGTGACGTCACGTTGTCGTCTGCATGTTTTCAAAATCTTGGGCTACAGCCAAGAATAGCCATTTTATAATCAGTAAAAATATTGATGACACCATTATATTTCAGTTTCACTTTGTTGTCATAGATACTAAGAAATTCGTAATTTTGTTAAAGAAAAAAGTGGATACTTTATGGATACTTTTTAGAAGATTATGGATACGTTTTGATTTTCACATTGGCAACACTGTAGCCAAGACTTCTGGACACGCAGTTCAACATGCTGGGTAGATCGCATCCCTGCGTTATTTGCAAGAGGAGAAAGGATACACGTCCACATTTAAATTTTCATCGGTTTCTTGGGAGTTAGTGAAAATGTACAATTATATATTGAAATACATTTCTAATGAGAGGCAGCAGCTTCATCAGTCACTCAGACTCACTTGATACGAATTTGACAAGTTTGACAGGAGTCGCAGATGGCAAAATGCCATTGACATTCTCAGAATATACGTGAAGAACTGTGAGGAATTGCACAGAAATTATCGAGTGTGCTTTTTTCCTTCATAATACTGTATATACCTTCCATAAGAATCTTCAATTCGGTTAACGAAAAAAATTCAATTAACGAATTCCTCTCAACATGTTTTCGCTTGCTCACCAGCTGGAATATTAGTCCGCTAATACAGTACAGTAATTGGTTCTAGGGTTTAAATTTGTTCCCATTTGAGTAATTGTCAAGAAGGTTGTACTATTCAATAATTTTCCAAGTTTTATATTAAAATTTTGTCATTTTAACAATTATTTAACATAATTAAAGTACAGGAAACTAGTTTTTAGTGTGCCAAACAGCCACTTGACTCACCCAGCATGGCGTCAGTTTGTGTCTCTGTTCAGTGGAGGTAACATCTTCCTTGAGACTCTCTTGAACATAAACTATATTTACATTTTTACAGTACAATTATTGGTCATTCTGAAATTTATTTTACATATTGACAATATATAGTGCAGTGCATTGTTGATTTAAAGAAAATAATCTTGAATTACACCCAGTGAACTTAAAATTTTATGGGTTAAATGACGGCATGAAGCATGGGGTAATTTCTCTTCCACCCCACTTCCTTCTCTTCTCCCTTCTCCTCCACCCCCACTTCTAATTCCCATCATCATCAACCAGGATCCTTCTACATACACACCTCAAAGATGTGTATGTTTGTATGTTGTGTTGTCAAAGTAAGAGAAACAAGCGAGTCCCGTAATATGTGCCTGCCTGAGGTGATGCAGATGCCATATGGCAGCAGGGTCTACCATTAGACAACACATTATGTTCCAATATCTTCCCAGGCGGTAGTACCTCCCTGTTTGGTAGCTGCCTACTACCTGCTACACAATCTTTTATACAGAATGTGCAAAAAAATAAAAAATAAAATAAAATAGTAATACACCTTTTCACCGACAGTCTGCATATAGACTGTCGGTTTATTGTTCACGTCTGTCAATTTCATAACCTTTGTCAATCATTTCTGTTAGCATGAATGAACAGTTATTTTAGAAAGTCATTCGATATGTGTTCTGTCATTCGGTTATGAAATATGTCAAATAGGAATATAACAATGTCTCAACATATATGTGAAAAGGTGTAATACAATACTGTACTACAGCCACACCAAAATAACTGACCCATATGCAGACGGACAGTGAATCAACGGTTATTGAAGCAATAAATCCCTTAAGAATACTGTATAACAAATTCATGAGGGTATGGACTAGCTGATGTTTTGGCCACTGTTTCTGCCTTTAAGAGTTATAATGATATTCCCACATCTTTTGAAAACAATTATGGGCTAGTGGAAATTTCTGTGAGATAACGGAAAATTTTTAGATTCAGCAGGCCTGCCAACATGTGCATTAGGTGTTCGTTGAACTATACAGGTATCCCCTATTTATGATGGGATAACTTTCCTGAAAAACCCATCGCAGGTTGAAATATCGTAAATCAGGATCATTAGGTATAACGTGGGGTTCAGCGGGATATGTTCCCAGCCAGTCCAACACCCACATGTATCACCAAAAATAAAATTTCTACACTAATACTATACCTACAACACAATTAAACAACACTCACCACATCATTAAGAACAAGCCTGGACTTCATAACACGTTCCTCTCCAAGCTAAGTGGACTCTTGAAGGTGGAGTGGAGATGTCACTTTGACTCCCACATAGCCTCTGGGGAGTCTCATGCTTGCTTGACAACGTCAAGCTTTACCTCAGAGAGACAGTTTTCCTGGGTGCTTTGGCCTTCCCAGACATTTTCAAAGTTACACTGCTCACTTCACATGAAAACTCACCCCCCAAAAAAACAGCAAAAGCACTCGTCACAAAAACAGAGCAAAGGATGATAAAGTTATTGCGGCCGACACTACTCACATCATGTTCACAACAATGGAGGCAAAGCACTTTATAGTCACAAAAATCATAGTAAAAATCACTTCACAAGCACCAAAACACAGTACAGTACAATGTGAACATTAGTGATGTCTTCTCACTGTAAGGTTAAAAAATACAAAAACATGATCAGTACCAACACCAATACTAACAGATAATCATTGAGCTACACAATCACAGCCATGTGCGATCACCATGGAACAATGCTTGGCACTGTAGTGTACCAGGTGGCTGAGTGGCGCCTTGCAGGTAGACCACTGCTGACAAGTGCACCGAGAGATGTGTTCCATATTTCACGCCGGATGATGACCATCATTTATGCAAACTTTTTTTTTTCATAAATAGGGGGTGGTCTTAATACATCACCATCATTAAAGTAAAATATCGTAGATAGGGAGATTGTAAATCAAGGGGTACCTGTACACATAAGAGAGTATACGAGTAGTGCAGACTCCCTGTAACTTCGTACCAAGTGGATATTGTTCAGGACTTGGGTATGAAGGTGAAGGATAATCTAGCTATTTGGTTTTAGATACTACCCACAAGTTTGAGACCTGGGGTTATGTCCTCTAGACTTACTGATTATAAAGGAGTTACAAGTCGTGGTGTGACCACATAAGGGGACAGACGTGCCCATAGGTGCTCTTGACTTCCTGATCGTCCCACGAAGGTGCCCTCCTCAGAACCGACTCCCCTCAGCCGGCAAGTTTTTGCCAGCATGGGGAGTCGACGTAAACGCCCCAGAAGAGGTGTCCCCTCTCTCACTAATGCCATCGCCAACTCGCCTGTTCATACTGAATCCAACACCCTTCAAGAGTCAGTCCCCAGTGATTATGACAGTGACGGTAATGTTTCTATGGGAAACACTAGCCTGAGTGGAAACACCAATGCCATGGACCCTATCACCCTGCCAAACAATCAAGTAAGTTGAATCTACACTTTTCCAGGGGCTCATTGAAATCCGCCGAGGAACGGTTTAATTGGATGATGAAGCACTGTAGACAACACGGTCCCAACATTCAATTCCGAAAAGGTAAGAACTGGAACTTTATCAAGTGTCAGACTCCTAAAGTCTATGAAACAATTAGTACTGTTGGCTTTGACGGAGTTGTCCTGGTGCCCCCCCCAGTAGATGCTGATAAATGTTGCCACATTCTAGTGAAACGATTCCCCCTATACGCTGACATCGAAGATGCACGTGACTTTAATTCTAATATACTCAGTATACGTCGACATTACCGGGGGAAGACTCCACAAGCTGCTGATATTGTCAAGTGGAAGGGAAGGGAATACCCAACCACTATGGAGGCCCACCCAATCCGTCCTCCACTTCATGCAGAACCCTATCATCCAGGGCCTGCATTTTGTGTTATCTGCTCTCATCTGCTGTTTGTAAACTTTGTGGCCAACCCGACTCTCACCACATCCTCACTTGCCCTATGACCTCCTACAGGTCCCCAGCCGTTACCAACACCTCTTCCCTCCCTGACCAAATATCCCTCCTCCTAGTGACAGGCCTGGCACTTGACATTATTAGGGACCTGCCACGCTTTGCCATAAACAGATGAAATGTTCCGGGAACTTCCCCCCCACACACTCATCATTCTGTCACTTTATGTAACTTGCTGACAAAACCTATGACCCCTCAGGGTTTTACCCCCTTAATGCAGGAGTCATAAAGGCAAGCATGAACTCTGCATGCTTCCCAGATGGGCACTGTAAATGCTTCTGTGCTTCACCTTGCACAGGATGTAAGGGGGTGCCCAATAAACTAGCCCCCCTCACAGCAATCTAAAAAACAAAAAATCTTGGTATAACTTATAAGAAAGTATATTCATCCCTAATGCACATGTGGTTGTAACTAGTTCTCTTTTATCACGACAAGACGCTTAATAATTCACCCATGACCAAGGATGTCTATACAGTATACTGTACGGATAAGACTATGTGAGCCACTCGTTACGTGTGACAGCAGCTTCTATATGCAACACAGGAAATAGGCCTTAATCTAACCATTAGAATTAGGCCTTAGTTCTAATAGATTGTAGTTGTAATGGGCTTCAATCAATAGGTAGATTAGGACCTAGTAGGAATTAAAGCCATTTGACCAGCAGCTGCCAACAGTAGGGTGCATGTAAAGGTCAGTTAGATTTTATTGTGTATGAAAGTGAAAGTTCAAAGTAAATGCTATAAAAATTACGTTTATATGAAATTGCACAGATAAAACACAGATTATACGTATTTTGTTTTATACTTAATCTGTATATTAATGATAAATTGAGGTTTGGTATGTACATAACTGTACAGTACTTTCTTTTATGAATACTGTACCTCTAAATATTATTGAACCACCTGAAGATTAGACACCCTAGCTTATTTCAAATTAAGTTCACCCACCCTTAACCTGCTTACACTCTCACCTTGTACAGTATGTGCATAAGATCAACTGTTTAGAAACAAATAAAAAATATGAAATTATTCTATGTAAAAGTAAACAATATAAATAATAAAGGATATTCCTGTGGTATAGGAGTGTGTAGAGCATGTAACAAAAACTTCAAAACATAACATCACTGGAGCATTAGACAGCAGTCCTCCTCCTTCATGACTGCTGAAGAGAATCTTTTGGTACTTGATTGTGGTAATAAACCTGGGATACTTCCACTTATTCTGAAGGGTTTGGCGGGAGGTGTTGGGCAGTATATGGTGGATAGAGTGTAATTAAGCTTGTGACAAGTGTAAGCTTGCTTTTCTTCCCACATCTGTAGGAACCTGGAGCAACCATATGTCATCTGTGGCCATGAATGTTGATGGGAAAAGGCATTTCATCAATTAACGTGCAGAGCAGTGCAGTAGGTAGGTCAAGGTTTTTAGAGCTTTTCGGTTTTCGGAATTTCGGATTAAGGGTTGTCAATCTGTACGTACATATACACAAGAACTCTTAAATCACTACCGTAATGTGATATGGGTGATTAATTTTTATCTCTTGTGCAAAATGTATGACATTTATATTCAAATTATTCAGTCTTGCAAGGATTCCAGCAATGTAAATTATTTCTCGTAACCTTAGTCTGATATTATATAAGATAAAAACTCTAAGCCTAAGACCACCAAACCTTGGCTGGGGGAGGAAGGGGAGGTGACAGTGACATGTTTGACAGTTGGGGCCAAAGGTCTAGTGAAGTATTTATTTGTTTATTTATGTCCTTTAGATTGAATTTTTGTTTTTTGTTCATAAAATATCACAGAAGTGACCGGGGAGATTATAATTTTCATTGCTGGAATTCTTTTAAGATAGTGATTAATTTGAATATAATCATGCTATACTTTGCACTAGAAAAAAATCTTAGTAATCATTTTGTACATTATTTTGAGTACATGTACAGTACAGCTTTGTCCTTAAGACAGTGTGTGCATGTAAATGAGTAAAAATAAAAGAATAAAGTTACATATATCGATCACAAACGATTAGTTGAAAAACTTTATGTAGACAGAGCTTGGATGGCTAAATTTTAGAATGACCAATAATTTTAATATAAAAAATGCAAAAATATTCAAAAAAACAACTTTCTTGACATTTACTTCACTGAAAACGAATGTAAACATAGAACCAATTACTGTATTGGCAGACTAGCCGATCAGTGTGTTTCTCCTAAGGCTTTCGTTAATCGAAGTTTTGTTCGTTAATGGAACTGAAAATCCTTATGGAAGCTAATTCGTTAACCAAAATTTTGTTAATTGAACCGTTTGTTAATCAAGGGACCACTGTATACTGTAATTTAGATAGCTGCAGGAAAAAATAAGAAATAAAGCCAGAATACTTTTATGGTTTCCTGAGCTACCCTTTATATATCTGTATTTGTAACCATTATATACCTGTACTGTTTACCATTATATACCTGTACTGCTTACCATTATATACCTGTACTGTTTACCATTATATACCTGTACTGTTTACCATTATATACCTGTACTGCTTACCATTATATACCTGTACTGTTTACCATTATATACCTGTACTGTTTACCATTATATACCTGTACTGTTTACCATTATATACCTGTACTGTTTACCATTATATACCTGTACTGTTTACCATTATATACCTGTACTGTTTACCATTATATACCTGTACTGTTTACCATTATATACCTGTACTGTTTACCATTATATACCTGTACTGTTTACCATTATATACCTGTACTGTTTACCATTATATACCTGTACTGTTTACCATTATATACCTGTACTGTTTACCATTATATACCTGTACTGTTTACCATTATATACCTGTACTGTTTACCATTATATACCTGTACTGTTTACCATTATATACCTGTACTGTTTACCATTATATACCTGTACTGTTTACCATTATATACCTGTACTGTTTACCATTATATACCTGTACTGTTTACCATTATATACCTGTACTGTTTACCATTATATACCTGTACTGTTTACCATTATATACCTGTACTGTTTACCATTATATACCTGTACTGTTTACCATTATATACCTGTACTGTTTACCATTATATACCTGTACTGTTTACCATTATATACCTGTACTGTTTACCATTATATACCTGTACTGTTTACCATTATATACCTGTACTGTTTACCATTATATACCTGTACTGTTACCATTATATACCTGTACTGTTTACCATTATATACCTGTACTGTTTACCATTATATACCTGTACTGTTTACCATTATATACCTGTACTGTTTACCATTATATACCTGTACTGTTTACCATTATATACCTGTACTGTTTACCATTATATACCTGTACTGTTTACCATTATATACCTGTACTGTTTACCATTATATACCTGTACTGTTTACCATTATATACCTGTACTGTTTACCATTATATACCTGTACTGTTTACCATTATATACCTGTACTGTTTACCATTATATACCTGTACTGTTAACCATTATATACCTGTACTGTTTACCATTGTAGTACACCTGCACTCAGGGCACTGTTTACCACTGCATACCTATACTATTTATCAATATAAACAGTAAAGGTATACAGTGATTAACAGGAAGTCAATTCGACAAACGAAGCCATTAGGTTATTTTAATTAAAGAATAGTGCCACTGGGTGTTACTCGACCTGCAAGAAGTAAAAAAGAGTTAAAGATATGTTTTCCTTTTAGACCGGCTTTTTGGGACACCCTGTATACTTTATTTATATATATTTTTATATATATTTTCACAAACACATTGGTACATTATAAATTTTCAAGTAAATTTAAATATAGTATACAGTGTGTAGTAAATAAGAGTTATCTGGAAAAAAGAAGTTTTACAATGAGATGATTTGAACCCCATGTTGTGAACTTTGCAAGTGTTTCTCACGTACAGCCTGAAATCATGTGTAATATTTTCCTTAAGACTCCTAACACTCAAAACTCCAAAGAATTGTTTTTTTAGTGCCTGACAATCAATAATAAAGTGAAACAAAAGAACCAGCACTTAATAATTTATTTACTAACTTTACATCTGTAATTTGGTGAATGAAACTGTTAAAGAGGTAGTCTGGAATAACTAACAATAGCTCTTGTTCATAGGGCACACTGTTTTCATCTAGGTTAACTCCAGGTGGCGACTTCTGAAACTGTCAAAATAATAGAAAAATCAATAGTAACTTTTGTGTTGTTGCAATGTGAGAAGCAACACAAGTAAACCATAGGGCCCTGTTATAAAAGAAAGAAACCACAGCAGAACACATCTGGTAAGGCAGCAACCACGAACAACTGACAGCTAATGAAGTAGCCTACGTTAATCTTGATTCCAACCCTGACAGGAATGGCCTTGCAAAAGTGAAAAATCATGAAAATGTCAATAGTCAGAGAGGTCCTGTTTCATAAATTTAAGTTAAGTCATAACAACAAGAGCCTCAGAGCTCCTTTACAGAATTTGATATAAAAATGTCATATAAGCATAATAAAATTAGCCAAATCACCTTAACGTATATCATTATAACCTCTATGGAATTTCTAACATACAATAATAAAAATAGTTATTTATAGTATCAAAGGCATTATGGATGCACTTTGTAGCATCCTCAAGAGAAGTGGCAGGAGAACACTCAAACCACAGGGGAGAATTGGTTATCTTGCTCGTCCTCGCCCACGGGTGAAGCTTCCACGTGATGACATTCCACCTCGACCTCTTCCACCTGGGCCTCCCTTTACTTTTGGAGGTGGAGACTTTGGCCGCAAGGCCTCAATACGCTCGGTGCAACCCGTTGTGATCTGGCCATTCGTAAAGTAACCAGCATACACGTCAGGATCAAAGTTGCTGCTGGTGAGACCTGGTCCTAGGGTCAACCAGCCAGGACGAATGGTACTGTCACGGCCAAATACGTGCAACCTATCCAACAGGACAGTGATCAGAAGTAGTATACGGGTTTAGAAGTACAGTATAGTAATACAAAATTACAAATCTAAAGTGAATATTTGTCACCAGGCTGATCAACAAATCTTGTTGGGTCAGTGAATATAGGTACTGTACACAGTACTCCCTGGTTTATGAAAGGATCCCACTTCTGAAAACTTTTCATAAGTCAAAGAATATTCTCTCGTTGGTAAACTCCCATTATAAAAACCAAGATATGAGGGGGAAGAAGTTTTGAATGATAATTTTTGGTGTATGTACAATGATTTTATGCCAATAATATAAATATAATCAAAATACATGCAGTAAAGTACAGTAATAGTTATATACCTATAACCACTTGCGTACAAGTTCCCCCTCTGTGCTGAATAAATCGTCTGGCATTATCCAAATAAATTACAGTTTTGACTTGGAGTATGTGACCCTGCTTATAGGTGTCTGACCCCTGAACTGCCCTTACACGAGCTAACCCACCCAGCATCTCTCACCAACTCAGCATGCTTATCTTTTGTCTATGCTCATTTAATAAATAAATAAATAAATAAATAAATATATAAATAAATATATAAATATATAAATAAATAAATAAATTAATAAATTAATAAATTAATAATAATAATAATAATAATATTAATAATAATATAATATAATATGATATAATATAATATTATATTATTATTATTATTACTATTATTACTATAATTAATATATATATATATATATATATATATATATATATATATATATATATATATATATATATATATATATATATATATATATATATATATATATATACATACGCGGGTTTAGCATGCACGGATTCGCAAATATGCGGATTGCCCCACCGGAGGAATATTCTGTACATTGAAGTAATTGAAGTGCATTCAAATAACGCGCGGCACCGAACACTGGACACCGCTCGCTCCCGCTACCTCACACACACATGCATAGTGCGTCGTCACCCCACCCCGCGCTCCCTCACTCAGTCAGTCTCGCTGTAACCACGCTCGTGTTGACATCAACATTGTAGGTCGACCCTGATTTTTTTACCCAAAAATCGTTAATTTATGATATTCCTTGTTTATAGGTCGACCCAAGTTTTTGAGGGTATTGGAACATCAAAACCTTCAGTAAAAGCGCTCTACGTCCTATAAACTGAGGCTCACCGTGCCTGAAACACAGAGTGCTGAAGGCAAATTGTTTACCATTTATTATTACGACACTTTACACTGAAACGCGGGTAGATTCAACAAAAATATTGTATATTTCCATTCAAGTATTTATTCAAGTGAATTAGGAGGGAATATTATTGTAATACAACAGTTTTTTAACTGAAAACCAGTACTGTACACTAATGTACAACAATTTTTATCTCTTGAGCAAAATATATGAGGTTTATATTCAAATTATTGGCTGTCTTGCAAGGATTCCAGCAATGCAAATTATAATCTCCTAACTTCAGTCTGAGATATTATATAAGATAAAAACTGTAAGCCTAAATAAACCCCTGGCTGAGCAGATGAGGGAGGGAGGGAAGGAGCCAGCCAACCAGCGAGGGGTGGGAGGGGGGGGGTTGAGGTAATATGTTTGACAGTTTGAGGCGAAGGTCTCTGTGTGTTTATTTAACAGTCCTACTATGCTTCTCCCATTTTAAAATGCCAGTGAAATGACCTGGGAGAATATAATTAACATTGCTGGGATTCTTGTAAGACACTGATTAATTTGAATAGCAACATGCTCTAATTTGCACTAGACATAACAATTTTAGTACCATAATGAAATTAGTACATGTACACTCCAGCTTTGCACTAAGGTCATTTATTTCTTTTAGTACGGTGTGTGCATGTAAATGGATGAAAATAAATGAAGAAATTTATGTAAATCTACCCAAAAATACAGTTGAAAACTTTATACTGTATTATAAAATGTACTACACAGTATTGTACACTAATGTACTACATTTTTTTATCTTGAGCAAAATATATGACGTTTATATTCAAATTATTGGCTGTCTTGCAAGGATTCCAGCAATGCAAATTATAATCTCCTAACTTTAGAATAAAGTTGTCACCAATCTTTTGTCTGGGAACACAAGGAGGCAGGTAGCCAGCGAGCATGAGTGCGGGAGGTGAGGTAAGATGTGACAGTTGGCGCTGAAGGCCTACTGTTTACTTATCATTATTTAAGAGTGACTAAGCTCTTCTCATAATTTGCCACCCAAATGACCTGGGTGAATATAACTTACATTGCTGGGATTCTTGGAAGATAGTGATTTATTTGAATACCTGTATAAACAGTCTATATTTGCAATAGACATAACAATTTAAGTACTGTAATCATTTAGTACATGTACAGTACAGGTTTGTTTCACGGTAAAATCTTTTGAACAACGAAAGAAAGCAAAAGTCATTGTTTTCGTCATGATTTTATCCCACTTTTCACTGTAATACGTACGTCATTTCAGCAAAAATATTACATTTCCATATTTATTTCTGAGAATATATTCATTCAGTCACAGTTAAGGTCAAATATACTTGTGATGTAATATTTTAATGAAAATAAGGTATCGTAGTTTTCTTTTGTTTTAAATTTAATTAACAAAGATTGAAGTTTCAAATGTAATGAACAAAAATTTATGTACAGTATCTATAAATAAACTTTAAAAAATGAATACTTTATGTTTTACATCGTCCTGTGCATAACATACCATGGATTTGGCTACTTTGGGCTTGTTATGATGACGCAAGAGATCTGCCTTGGCAACTGTACCGACACTCACAGCTGGTGGTGCGTTGGTCCGTCATTTCCATTGTTTACTGGTAAATATTTTTCAACCTAACGAAACTATTACCCGTTTAGAGGTCGACCCCCAATTTTTTGCCAAATAATTTGGTCTTAAAAACTCGAACTACACACAGGTATATACAGTAAATAAGGACATGGGGGGCCAGGGGAAACAAGAAAACACGAAGTTCCCAAGTGCTTTTGTGTAATTCACATCTTCAGGGGTGAGTACAGACTAAGAAGTAATTATTGACAAGGCTAATGTTTACAGTAGAGGATTTTTTTTTTTTTTACGGTGATCAGCCCACCCGGGCACAGGTCACTGAATCACATCGGAGCCTGGAGGGCGAAAATGTAATAATAATAATAGCAACACTGTGATAATAATAATAATAAATACAAAGAAATACAAGAATGAAAAAAGTCAATAGTGAGAAACGCTATATGTACAGTATGTTGTGTTGTCATGTAAAAGAAACAATTGAGACCCTACAATTGTGTGTAAATGAGTCAGATAGTCAGATCAGCAACCTGGGAATTGGTCACAATTTTCGTGATGCCATATGGCAGCAGGGTCTACCATTAGACAACACATTATGCTTCCAATATCTTCCCAGGTGGTAGTACTGTACCTCCCTGTTTGGTAGCTGCCTACTACTTACATATATTTCATGTAGATCCACAATGGAAACGTGGACAAGATAAATCTCCATAAAACCACACAGGAAAAGGGAAACAATGGAGCTCCGTTGTTTTGTTCGTTAACCGAACTGAAGATCCTTATGGGAGGTAATTCGTTAACCAAAATTTCGTTAATCGAACCGTTCGTTAACTGAGGGACCGCTGTATTTTGGCAAATTTTCTGTATTTATTAACCATGAAAAAATTATGAAAATGCCAAATTAATTTTTTGTAACGTCAGGGTCTTCATTCGTAAACTGAAGCAGGAGACAAAAATAATTGTATCTTCAAATTTCTGTAAACTGAAAATTTTTAAATTTGGGACTACTTGTAATTAGGTAAGGTCCTTGTTATCGGAAAATATTTTGACATGGAGTTCATATCCTCTGAGAAATGGGTGAGCAAGCTAGGAATACTCTGAACACTAAAATCACCAAGGATGATCAACTTTAACAGGGTAATTGGAGGCAAGCTAACAATTCCAAGAAGAGTACTGTAATGAACACATCTTGTTAAACCACTTCCTGATCAGGGGTGAAGTCATGCCTAGAAAAATCAGAGGGTAAATATCTAAAGAACCTCAAGGAAAAATTTTCTAAACAATGTAAGTAACATTGAAGTTGAAAAGAAATTTACCTTCAGCCATGTTATGCAGTTTTAACTCTACCTTACCTGCGACGACCGAGGCAGAAATGTTCGATGATATGAAATATCTCCACTGGCTTCTCAAGTGATCCATATTCAGCTTCTTCTGATATGATGAGATCAATGTCAACATTTGCATGGATGAAATCTCCATCAGATGACCGCCGAACTGTTCCTTTAATTCCCATTAGACAATGTTCCTGAAAGATATGAAGTGTATCATACAGTATACTGTAGGTGCATCATTGTAAGCAAGTGATATATGTAGCAGCGGTGCTCAAGCTGCATTTCCCTCATATAACACATTCACAGTAACTCAATCCCCTTCTATCTTTAAGGTAAATATACATACAAAAAAGGGATGAGAAAAAGAGAACATAAGCAAGGTAGGCTATAAAAAGTAAAGAAATGATCCTGTTTGAGGCAGAAAAGTAAATGGAAGTTGGATAGACTACAGGTACTCCTCGACTTATGACCACCCAGACATACGACCGCTGCAGTCGTATAAAATATTTTTCAAATTACGTATTTTCGAGTCCCGACGTTTGTGATCGCGCTGTGTACTGACAAAATTTTCGTTTATAATTCCCTTTAAAATGGTTGGCAAGCGTAAAAGTGAGAGTTCTCGTGGTGCTGAGAAGAAAAAGAGACACCTATTTTAGATTTTCTATGTATTATTATCGCATTTTCGACTTACAACCTGGTTGTCGGTCCCTAACCCCGTCATAAGTCGAGGACTGACTGTATAATGAAGGCTGAGCAGATTAGCAGTGTCTGGCAGCCAAGTTGTGCCCAGACTAGGGGTCAGAATTTTTTTTTTCATGTCTGTGTGCCCAGCAATTGCCTGGCAGACAAATAATATTTTGAGAGGAAAATACTCAGACAGGAATTTGTCAAGTACTGTGTGACCTTACCTCTCAGTACATGTTTAACCAGTGAGGTCCATCAACCAGCAAGATGATGATGAGGAGGGGGCTGTGTGAGTGTGCTCGACCTGATGCCAAATCATGGCATCACAGCAGAGCTGATCCCTAAGTTTTCTGTTCACACAATGATTTGACCTGCTAAGAAAGTCCATGTGGTGTTTCAGCCTCAGTGACATCACAGATAATCCCTGCTACAGGTATATTGGTTTATTTTCAAAATGAGTTGACCTGAAGATCTGTTTAAAAGCTCCCACTGATTGCTGTGTAAACAGAGTTGTGATATAAATGAAAGTGAAAACATCAATAAGAAAAAGAAGCAAGGAAAATTTGCTGGGTTCTTCAAATGTCACTGGATGGAGAAATGAGGGTAAAAGACATTTAGTAATCTTTGGGATGATACAGTGCAGTTGCAATAATTTACAAAATACAAATGCACAAACAAAATTCATGGGTGCCTCTTTTTTTTTTCTTTTTAATTTCAGTCTAATACAGGTAGTCCCCGACTTATGACTGACTCAACTTACGTCCATCCGCACTTACGACCTGCTCTGACCGTACGACAGTCCACGCATACGACCGCCGCAGTCGTGACCAAAATTTTTTTTCAAATGAAGAGCGCATTTTCTATACCAAAACGTTTCGGTCCAGGCGAGAGGTGACTGGCTCGACTGGGTCACCGCGTGGGTACACTCACTCAGTACAGCGCTTAGTTGGTGTTTGGCTATCGTATCCTACTGATCGCGCTGTGAACTTTCGTTATTATCGTATTTAATTGACTTTATAATGACTGGGAAGCGTACAAGTGAGAGTGCTGGTGGTGCTCCAAAGAAAAGGAGACAGGCAATTACTTTTGAGATAAAAATGAAGATAATAACACAGCATGAGAATGGAAAACAGTAGCAACAATCTCACGCGACCTAGGTTTCTCGCACTCGACCATATCCACTATTCTGAAGGACAAGGAACGTATTCGTGATGCAGTGAAAGGAACAACACCTATAAAGGGAACTATAATTTCGAAGAAAAGACAAGGTCCTATTCACGATATGGAAAAATTATTGGTGATATGGATAGAAGACCAGATACAGAAGAGTGTACCCTTAAGCCTTCTAACAATACAGGCTAAAGCAAGAAGCCTGTTCGAAAGCCTTAAGGAGCAGGCAGGAGATGAATGTGATCAAATCTTTACAGGAAGTCATGGGTGGTTTGATAGATTTAAAAAATGCTGCAGTCTACACAATGTTAAGGTGAGTGGAGAGGCAGCTAGTCCTGATGTTGGTGCTGCCGACGCTTTTAAAGAGGAATTAGATGAAGTGATTGTGGAAGGGAATTATTTGCCTGAGCAAATATTCAATGTGGATCAGGTTACAAACATTGCATGAATGGAATATGGAAGAAAGTCCTGAAAAGATATATAACAGCTTTTAGAGGATTTCCATAGTGGGGTACGCTTATAATGAATCTAATTTCTGGTTCTAGAACTCCTTGTTCGTTATAGCATTCTGCTCGCTATAGGATTAATCTGTTCCAGGCCCCAAATACAACCACTTAACACTGGAAAAATAGAATATAAAATTGTAAAAAAGTGCATAAATATGCATCTAAACCCCCTGAAATAAAGAATATCATTACTTGTAATAAAAAACAATAAATTAGTAAAAAAGAAAAAAAAAATATTATTTTAAATAATGTTCAAGTAGGAGTTTTCGTTCGTTATAGCATTCTCAATTTTATAGGTAAAACTGCTCGCAGGAATATTCGTAGTAGGATCCGGGTTATAGCATACCCCACTGTAATGAAACTGAAGTTATTTCGGATATTAGTAACAAGATAGTGGAATTAGGTAAACAGCTTCAGTTAGAAATTGATAATGAAGATGTTGAACAGTTGGTTGAAAGTGTAGCAGAAGAGCTCAGTAACGAGGGTCTTATTGAACTAGAAGCATACAAAGATGCAGAGGAAGAAGAGAGACAAAATGTAGAAGACCTGCACCCCCAAAAAGTTTTCAGTGAAGCAAGTGGCAGAGGCATTTGCTACAATTAATAAAGGAATGCAAATGTTTGATGGCATGGATCAAAATTATGAGAGTTTTGCCAAAGTTGACAGAATGATCCAAGATGCACTTGCTTGCTACAGAGAAATTAATAATGAAAAGAAAAAGCAAACTGTGCAGTCTAAATTGGACATCTATTTTAAGAAGTCCCTCAGTGCTGTCTCCTCACACCCCACCAGTGCTGCCTCTTCATTCCCTCAAGATGATCCAATACCTTCAACCAGCAAGTTTCCCCTGTACATAAACCTGTCTGAAGAAAGTGACATTGATGACCCACCCAGCCCTGTCTCCACCTCTGCTTCATCCAATTACTATAGTCTCCATGTATCCTGTAAATAGAAAATTATGGGGGCCCTGTGTGCATTCAGCTGATTACATTAAAGGTAAGTGCACAGTCACACTGCATCCATTCTTCATTATTGATTACTTTTACTGTACTGTATTTCATTTTAGATTTTATATGTATTATTTTTTTGCATTTCCAACTTAAGACCATCCCGACTTACGATCTGGATTTGGGTCCCTAACCCCGTCGTAAGTCGGGGAGCAGCTGTATATGGGAAAAGGAGGAAATCCCCAAAGCTCTTAAAGATGCCTCCATCATCAACATTTATATGAACAAGGGAGACCAGTCAGACTGTGGCAACTACCCCAGGATCTCACTGCTGTCCATAGCTGGCAAGATTATCGCTCAAGTCCTCTAAACAGACTTCTTCCTGAGGTGGAAAACTTCCTCCTAGAATCTCAATGTGACTTTAGACCATCACGTGGCACCAGTGTCACGATCATTGCTGCCCGCCAGATACAGGAAAAGTGCAGAGAACAGTGTCGACTCGGTCAACAGGGAAGCCCTCAGGCGGACCCTCAGCCAATTTGGCTGCCCACTTAAATTCATCGCCATTGTGAGGCAACTTCACGATGGCATGAACGGCAGTGTCCTGCACAATGACAACCAGTCTGAGTTCTTCTTCGTCCAAATGGGGGTAAAACAAAGATGTGGACTGGCACCAATTCTCTTTTCCTTTTTCTCGGCTGCCTTTCTTATTCATTTTCAGTGCCAATTTAGCCGGCAGGATGAACATCCAGTACCGGATGAAGGGTCTTTTCAACATAAGACGACTCCAGGCAGGAACAAAGGTGTCAGCAGCTTCCATTAATAATAAATAATAATAATAATAATAAACGGTTTATTAATCGAGTTGCAGCCGGTGGCTGAAAATATACAGACTTACATTTGATTTAGACATAATGATATAATATGCATTGAATACATTTACATGGCTGTACAGTACAGTGGTCCCTCGGTTAACGAGCACAATCCGTTCCAGCAGGTTGCTCGTTAACCGAAAAACTTGCTAATCGAAACCGGGTGGGTTTTGGGTAATTGGTTCCAGCTCACTGAAAATTGCCTAAATTCAACAAAAAGGTAGAAAGTACACTTACTTTGAGGTGTGTATGTAGAAGGCTCCTGGATGATGATGATGATGATGGGAATTAGAATGGGGGTGGAGGAGAAGGGAGAAGAGAAGGCATTGGGGTGGAAGAGAAGTCACCCCATGGCACCATTTCACCCATAAAATTTTAGTTCTCTTGGTGTAATTCAAGATTATTTTCTTTAAATCAACACTGCACTGCATTATATATTGTCAATATGTAAAATAAATTTCAAAATGACCAATAATTTGCTTGGAAACAGAAAAAAAGCGTTTAGTTGAAGAGAGTCTCAAGCAAGATGTTACCTCCACTGAAAACAGAGGGAGACTAACGCCTGTCTGGTGTGTTAACAGGCTGGATGGCACGCCAGAAACTAGTTTCTTTACCTTCAATTATGTTCAATAATTGTTAAAATGATTAAAAAAGTTAATATTAAACTTTTAAAATTATTGAATAGTATAAACTTCTTGATATTTACTAAAATAGTAAGGAATTTAAGCCCTAAAACCGATTACTGTACTGTATTGGCAGATTAATACTACAGCTGGTGGACCGCCAAATGCAAGCGAAAACATGTTGAAGTCGGCTCGTAAAAAACTCGTTAATCCAGGGATTGCTCGTTAACCGAATTTAAGAATCTTATGGAAGGTAAATCGTTAACCGAAATCTCGTTAACCGAGGCGCTCGTTAACCGAGGGATCACTGTACATAAATCAGGAGTTGTTTATTATTTTAACAATAGATGGGATGGTGCTGTTCTTATATCTATCGGTGCGGGCTCTTATGGGCTGTATGCAGATGACCTCACCCTTGTCGCTCACACCGAATGCAACCTACAGGAGATCCTGAACAACTACACAGACGTGTGTGCACACTTCGGCCTTGGGGTGAATGTACGTACGACTCAGATTCTTTCAGCCACACCTCCACCATCCATCCAGCTTAGCGGTACTACCCTCTCCAATGTTGCCCACTTTCAGTATCTCGGCTCTCACCTATCCACCACCGCGGACATCGATGAAGAGATTCAGCATCGGATCAGATGTGCATGTCAAGCCTTTGGCGGACTCCGTACCCGTGTCTTCAGCTGCAGGGAGCTGAAATTATTTACAAAGTTGCACGTACATTGAGCAGTGGTCCTCCTCACCCTGCTATATGGCAACGAGACATGGGTCACATACAGGAGGCACCTCAAGGCACTTGAAAACTTTTACCAACATAGTCTACTTTCCATCCTCCGAGTATGCTGGGAAGACACCAACTGTAGGAACACCAAAGCTACCATTATCCATGAACAACTACACATGACTGGCCATGTTACTCGCATGGATGACAGTAGACTGCCAAAGCAGCTACTTTACAGTCACCTAACGAATAGTAAATGTAACGCCGGCGGGCAACTGAAAAGGATATAAGGATAGTCTTACGACAAACCTGAAAAAGTATCACATTGACGATCACTTCAAACCGTAGCGCTTAGAGGAGCACCACACAAGAAGGTGTCAATTCTTTCAAGTTAGCCCAACTGCAAACTAAGGCAGACAAGTGCCAATGCCAGAAAGATGCTGCCGCCGCCCCTCCTGCACTACAATGTAGCCCCCCACACGTGCAACATCTGTGGATGACGTTCTAAATAACCCATATCATTTTATCATATCTGGATGATCGTCATACTCGATTCCGAGTGACAGGAAGGTAGTAGATAATCATGACATATTCTTTATAATACAGAAGATACAGTTGAGAGAGTGTGTCTTGGTGGCTGGGGTTCACAACAATAATATCAGAATCCTCCAAGCTGTATTTTCTCTGAGAATGGTAGTCAGTACTGTATATTAAGTAGAATGTGAGGGATAATATGGTTCATAAGATAATTCTTTATCACCCTCCGTGATAATGACCTTATCAAGGGGTTTACCTCACATAAACTTATATTGATCCCTACAATGGATGACATGAAGGAAGTATAGCTGACATATGTGCGACCCGATTAATATAAAAGTGTGTCACAACAAGAAGTAGATCACAACACCATTGACTAGGGTTGGATAGAAAAATAAGGTTAAAGCAGCATGACCTTAATTTATTATTAGTTATACTCGTATAGGTAACCATAAATATTGCCTAACTAATGTTATATACACTCAATACGTTTGTTAATATTAACAGTTAAAAAAAGATAAAATAATGATTCGAACAAACTATTCTTTAGATTATAAAAATTATGCATAACACATATTGTCAAGAAAATGATTCATTCAGTAGCCAGTTCAGCCATCCTAGTTTACAATGATGGGCAGTAACCTGTCTGGCCTGGATGGTCTCACACCGGCTCTGGTCTACCTCTGTAGTATTCCCACTCTCTGTTAATGTGAACTATTACAGCTCCTCCCCGACTTACGACCTACTCAATTTACGACCACCCGGACATACGACCGCCTCAGTCGTACCAAAATTTTTTCAAATTACATATTTTCGAGTCCCAACGTCAGTGATTGTGCTGTGTACTGAATTTTTTTCGTTTGTAATTCACTTTAAAATGGCTGGCAAGCTTAAAAGTGAGAGTTTTGTGGTGCTCAGAAGAAAAAAGAGACACCCATTTTAGATTTTCTATGTGTTATTTAAGCATTTTCAATTTACGACCATTTCAACTTACGACCTGGATTTGGGTCCCTAACCCCGTCGTAAGTCAGGGAGGAGCTGTATATCAAATAATATAGAGCTTGATTGGATAAATTGTCTTGTGAATTTATAAACAAAACAATGTCATCCTTCCCCAGTCCTTATTGGAAGATGGAAGTATCAGAGCTTGATTGTTGAACTACTTGAATGCTTGTTTGTGTGTTGGGGGCGATGACCAGTGGGACCACTGCTTGAAATTTCTTGCTAGATCTAGAAAAATATACCCCAACCTCAAAAACTTGATAGAAATTTTTGAAAACCTCCCATACATTGAAAAAAAAATATATATATATTTTCTTATTAATTTTGTTTTCATATTTAAGAATCGTAGTTAATTTAGATATAACATTGTTCATTTGGCACTTATTTTTGTTAAGTAATTTGGAACCCCTAGGCACATGATTCGGCAATTTTGCACATCTAAACATTGTGAATCTTCCTCCATTTCTTAAAAATAAATGATAAATACAGGTACAGTGGGGTATGCTATAACGAACGGATCCTATTACGAATATTCCTATAATGAACGGTTTTACCTATAAAATTGAGAATGCTATAACGAACGAAACTCCTACAACGATCATTTAAAAAAAAAAAATTTTCATTTGATTACTCTGTATGCATTATTTTTGTTTTTATATTTTATATATTTTGTACATTTTATTGAATTGTATTGATTAAAATAAAAACAATAATTTTAACTGTATATAATTTTGTCATACCTCAAATTTGGTTTTGCAACAGGGAAGATGCAGACATGAGTTTGGTAAACTTTGTTTTTCATAAGTGGCAACACTGACAACGACCTGCTGTCCAGTAAGGGTGGGGGCTGACTTTGCACCATCCACCTTGACTTTGTCAAGAACTTTCGACCAGGACTATACTTTTTTGGTCCAAACTGAAAACTAAAATTAATTCCTGTGTTGTTTTGAAACAATAAAATAATACCTTTGTTCGCTGAAATACAGCTTTTGGTTCAAGATTCTTCAAATGTCCAGGATTGTTGATGTTGGTACGTATCCAACAGATATCTTCACAGCGTCGAAAACCCCACTTGCGGAGACACTGACGGCCGAGATCCAAGCCTTCTGAAGATCCACACCACAAGAAAATAAAGCTACGTGGAGCAGCAACCTGAAAGTTTTTAAGAAAATTTCCGTAAGTTATGTGGGACTGCTACTTGACTGCTAGTAATTAAATAAATCTTTGTGGGGTTGCAATCTGAAAGTTTCCAATGTCATCCATTTTAAGGATGAGGAATTGTTCCTAAAAATTCAGGATTACCATCACCACTAGAAATATTGTGAAAATAGTTGAATCACCCTTCAAAACCCTAGTCCTGTGGGGTGAAAGTTACCATTTAAAGCTGAGGATTACCATAGTTTTCTTTGGCATCATACTAACACATGGGTTTCTTGATCCTTATGTGACCTGGCTAAGAAGTACAGTATCACATTGTGGGTCAGTCCCTCAGCTTTAACTTGACTTAAAAGAAACCAAAAAGAGGGATAAAAGAAACTGAATTATCTTTAGTCTTGATTATAGTAAATGAGATTTCAGGATCAATCTCTTGTTCATGGTTTGATATCTTGGCTAAGGTGACTCAAGTATCTTAGCTTGCCAAATGCCAATTGTCTTGAGACGATGACAGCACAATTTTGGTAAATCAGCCGAAGATGTTAATACCAGTTAAAGGATTAAAAAAAACATTAACATACTTGGTATATTTGCCAATGTTCAGCATTTATGAGACCTCAATACACCTTGTCACATAACAGTTCGAACAGTTCAACAAAATAAAGGACAGTTCACCTATGGCTTTGACATTCCCTTGTAATGAATTGACGCTGTAACAAAATAGTTTGACAGAGGAGATACTCACAAAATTATTGACGAAGCACTATGGATATTGACAATGAAAATAAAAGATTTGATAGTTTAACACATATATTTGACAATTAGCATAAGCTTTGAATGGCATATACAGTAGTGCACGTATATAAACGATATATACAGAAGCTCAACAATTAATTAATTCAGCAAAACCCAGGTCCCTTTACATTACAAAGTTGCAGTGATGATGATTTCAATCCCAGATGTCCTCTCGTGCAATACACCTCTGTAAGTATGTCTGGGATGCTGGTAGTTTGCTGAACAAAGGGTAGCATCAATACTGGGGACTGCTGTCCTCAAGTGAACTAAAATTTTATGGGTGAAATGACGGCATGGTGTGACTTCTCTTCCACCCCAATGCCTTCTCTTCTCCCTTCTCCTCCACCCCCATTCTAATTCCCATCATCATCATCATCATCAACCAGGAGCCTTCTACATGTACACCTCAAATTAAGTGTACTTTAATGCATTTATTTTTAGTTTGTATGTAATTTTCGGTGAGCTGGAACCAATTACCCGAAAACCCATTGAAACAATGGTTTCGGTGAACGAATTTTTCGGTTAATGAACAATCTTCTGGAACGAATTGTGCTCGTTAACCGAGGGACCACTGTAATAAAAAATAGATATGAATAACAATGTGCACGAGAAAGTGTGAATATTGCTGACGACTCATCAGCTGACTCACTGAGGCACCACCAACATGCAGGAAAGGATGGTGGGTGGACATGCAGTAATTAATATTATACACTCATAATGAAAAAAGGTAGATTAATATAAAAAAAAAAAAACCTGCTTTACCCGTGATGATGGGAGTGTGTGCCTAAGTTTGACTAGTCAGCTGAAAGCCCAGCCTTTCACAGTTCAATACACATTCAGCCACAGAAAAATGGTAAGAGTTTAGGTAAAGTAATTCAAACAAAAAGGATAGTAATCCTCCCAGGAATAGAGCAGAGGATGAGCATATATTGCATCATCCATGTCAGAGTCACTCACATACAGCTGCTACACTCCATCACCACCACAAGCATGGACCTGTCAGTCATGGAACATTTTATATCATCAATAAGATTTACAATGTATCCATTTTGTGCAGCAAAGTTTGTTTCCACCACAGCAAGTTATTACAAGATACAGTATTACCACACATTTTGAAAACAATTATGGTGTAGTGGAAATTTCTGTGGGCTAGTTTGAAAATTCACTTGCCTGATGGGCTAGGGGAACATTTTTATATTCAACAGGCCTGATTATAGTAAAGTCATATGAGGGATGAGAAGCGCTCACAACAGTGTAGCAGTGAGGAATACTGTAAGTACTTGCATTCAAACTTTAAGTTGTATCTTTTGCCTCCCAGACCTCTTTTCTATTAAAGGGATAAGGTTGTGTCAATGGTTCTAATATGCATACGAGTTCCAATAAATAATGTTGAAGGTCCTGGGGGCAAAGGTTTTTAACCCATAAACTTGAATGGCAATAATTATGAGTTGTCCATGTCACACTTCATCCTATAAGTAAAGCTACATGGAGTTGGAACTTGTAATTATGCAAAAAGAATAAAGTTATGTGTAATTGCAGTCTGGACGTTTGTAAGGAAATAAAGTTACAAGGAGCTATGACCAGAAAGTTTATATGAAAATAAAGTTATGTAAGGATGTGACCTGAAAGTTCCTAATGATCCACACTACAAAGGTATACAGTAGTATATGAGACCTGAAGGCTAGATATAACGTCTTGAGTATCAATCACTCTCACAAGCAGGAAAACTTCTTTGAAAGAGAATCAAAGAAATATTTTTACTAGTACAGTAGAAGTCCAAAAATCCGGACTGCTTGGGGATTGGGTCGGTCCGGATTTTCGGATTTTCCGGATTCTCAGGCAGTACTTTTAAAATTCAAATTTAAGGAGGAATAAAGAAGAGATGAACAGGTACATTTTGATAGTTTATTCTTTAGCAAATATAGCATGCTTCATTTATCAAAACGAGCTGTTTTAATGAAAAAACTGTGAATTCTAGAATTTTATTCTTTGCCATTTTTATATCATAAATTGTAGACTTTCCAATGTCGTATGTTTCCATTAGAACAGTATTGCTCACACCACGTTCTAGTTTGTCACTCAATTTCAACGTGTTCTTTCTCTTCACACAACAAAGTTTATCTACTTTAGGAGCCATTATTATGGGCTTGTACAGTACTCTGTAAATGGAAAGAGTAGGACTCAAAATATTGTTATATTACAATGGTATTCTATTCATACTGTGCTTGATATAATGCATTCACGGAAATGTAATATTTTTGCTGAAATGACGTACGTATTACCTGTGGAAAGTGGGATCAAATCGTGACGAAAACAATGACTTTCGCTTTCTTTCGTTCAAAAGATGTTACCGTAATCACTTTTCGTATGGTTTTCAGTTAAAAACCTGTTGTATTACAATAATATTCTATCCTAATTGAATATTTTCATTAAAATCCATCAAAATCATTTTCCTTGTCATCGTTTGCAGCAGCAAACAGCTTCTCCCAGTCCTCTCCTTGAACAGGGCTAGAGGGTACGGTTTTTCGAATCATTTTCAGTTAAAAACTATTACATCACACGTATATTTTACCTAAACTGCGCCTGAATGAATATATTCTCGGAAATAAATAGTAGTTTTGCTGAAACGTGATGTATTTCAATATAAAATAGGATAAAATACATGACGAAAACAAAAGACTTTACCTAAGCTTCCGATGTTCTTGAGATGTTACTCGTTTTTTTTCATAGTTTTCGGTTAAAATTCTGTTATATTACAATGATATTCTATTCATACTGTGCTTGATATAATACATTCATGGAAATGTAATATTTTTGCTGAAATTACGTACGTATTACAGTGGAAAGTGGGATCAAATCGTGACGAAAACAATGACTTTCGCTTTCTTTCGTTCAAAAGATGTTACCGTAATCGCTTTTCGAATGGTTTAGTTAAAAAACTGCATTACAATAATAATCCCTCCTAATTGACTTGAATAAATATTTGAATGGAAATATGCAATATTTTTGTTGAAACTACCCGCGTTTCAGTGTAAAGTGTCGTAATAATAAATGGTAAACAATTTGCCTTCAGCACTCGTGTTTCAGGCACGGCGAGCCTCGGTTTATAGGACGTAGTGTTTTTACAGAAGGTTTTGTTGTTCCATTACCCTCAAAAACGTGGGTCGAACTATAAACGAGGAATATCATAAATTAACGATTTATTGGTCAAGAAATTAGGGTCGACCTATAAACGAGGGGGGGTTATAGACGAGTATATACGGTATGTTGTCACAGTTTGATTGCTCGTTTTAAAGTGGCGACCACATGGTCGCTTGTTGTCGCTGTGCAGCTGTGGCGCTCATGCATGCGCACATACACACAAAAGCCCGCTAAAAAAAAAAAAAAAAAAATTAGTTTTCGAAAAGTCCGGATTCTCGGGTGGTCCGGATTTCTGGCATCCGGATTTTTGGACTTTTACTGTACCTTATAACAAGAAATACCTGTCATGGATAACTGAGGTTGAAAAATAGACAGAGACCGACAGACAGACAGACTGTTTCACTACCAGGGGATTAATTCAATACAAATGCAAATGGAGTTTTTAATACTCAATTGAAGACCTTTTTAATCTGATTTTCACAAAAATATCAAAATAAATACAAAATAAATAAAGGAAACTTCACAGCAAAGTAGAAAATAAGATGTACAGGGTATTGTCAAGCTAATGATTTTACCTGGGCAATATCCAAGTCCATGATCTTCTGCCAGTCCCAGAACTGCACGTTGTTTACACCTGTGTGCTGATATTCTTCCAATGGCGGCTCTACCAGAATTACATCAAATTTGGTTGGTAGTTCACGTAGATCAAAAGTCTGAAGGTCAGTTTGGAGGTACATGGGAGGAGTTGCAGTTGAGGCTATTAAATCATCCTAGAAAAAAAAAAATATATTACTCCAAGAAATTAGATGTGAAGTCTGTTACAAGTGTTCTGATCAAAGTAAGAGGATGAATAACATGGTTTGAGAGGTAGCAATAGCTTTGACTAGGAAGACAGTGAGGAGGTTAGGCTAGGTTAGGTGTTGTTATTCAAGATCAATTGGATCCTGATCAGCCACTGCTTATTTCACCTGATTAAACAACTACTAACCTAACCTAACCTAACCCCTGGGGTGCCTAATTCTACACGAGATCCGATGATCAAAGAACAAGAGTTGGCGGAGCATGAAGTGCGAGTTAAAATATTTTGGAAAATTTTTAACGTCAAGAAAGCTGTTGATTTCTTAGTGGAGGCTGGGGGCAGCTGTCTGTGGCAACGATTCGTTATGCTGGCGGCATGTGTTGCAAGGTATCCCAGGTGCGAGGCAGAGTCAACCTGTGACTGGTGAGGCTCAGACTGTTGCAGTGAACCTTGCAAGAGAAGCTGCACAATGTTACAGCTGCAGGTTTCTCAGAGACCACCAACGACGACATCATGGAGGTGATCCTGAGGTGACTGCCGACGAGATGTTGAAAGACGATGACGTCAGTGAGGAGGCAGGTGGTGTGGCAGCACGAGAAGAACAGAAGATAACATATGGTAATGTAAAGGAGTCCATCGAGTTTGCAGAGAAACTCAAGCTCATCCTTTCCAAAGACCCTGTCAATCACCGCTATGAAGTCTTCAATAACCTTCTAGACCAAAGTATGGAGCAGTACATCCAGATGTATCACGACCACATCAACGCTAGCCATTAGCGTAACATCACCGACTTCTTCGCCCACAACCCACCACAACCACAGCCAGCCCAAGTCAGTGATAGTGACAGTGATGGTGACTTTGAGGGGTTTGTCATGGAGGCCCTGACATCTGAGGTGGATAGTGATAGTGATTCACCTGAGGGCCACTAATCTGCCCTCTGCCTCGGAACCAGCCCCCATCCACGTATGCCGACTTATCTCTTCTACTAACCTAAGTGTTAAACCTTGAATTTTCTTTTACCTGGTACAATAAATTATTCTCTTATTGATATTTATCTTCTATATTATGTGTAGGTGCATACCATCATAAAATTAAGATACTATTTTTACTACAACGTACGTAATGTGTCGGAAAAAGTGGAGTTTGGGGGTCGGCCCAGTCTCTATTTCAATTAGTCCCATATGTTCTGTTATTTCATTTAACCGTTTCTCATTTTATGCGGACCTCCACGGGTTCAAGTGACTGCGTAAATGCAGACTATACTGTACATATATTCATAACTGCAACCTAAGAGTTAAACATTAATTGTCTAAGTCAGTGATTTTCAACCTTTTTCATCTCACGGCACAGTGAGCCAGGCACCAAAATGGTCGAGGCACCCCATCAGTATTTAAGGATAGATTTGATCGGCGGATCTACACTACGTAATTAAGGAGAGAATTTAAAACTGCCATTTGGGCTTTTAATGAACAATACATTTGTATATTTATTACATTTAAAAAAAGGAGTTTAAAGCACTCCATAAAGGTACCATTAATGTCAAAATGTACCCAAATGCTATTTTTTTAAATGCTATCCAAATGCTATTTAAACTCCCGCGGCACACCTACGGATGCTTCGCGGCACACTAATGTGCTGCGGCACATTGGTTGAAAATTGCTGGTCTAAGTACAGTAACACCCCGACTTACGCGGTCAACTGAACCAGCGGAGTAGCGCGTAAAATGAGAAACGCGTAAATGGAATAACAGAACATATGGGATTAATTGAAATAGAGACTGGGCCGACTCCCAAACTCCACTTTTTCTTACACAATACCGACACAATACCTACGTTGTAGTAAAAATAACATCTTAATTTTATGATGGTATGCACACACAATTAATATTTAAAAGAAATACAGTCGCCAGGTTAATGTCCATTCAAATAATGGACTCAACTCCCCCCCCCCTCTTCCCACGCTCGCTGGCTCCTCCCTCTCTGAGAAATGTTTGGGTATAAAACACTAGGTTTTAAGGTATATAGTAATACATAATACCTCAGACTAAGGTTAGGATAATATAATTGACATTGCTGGATTCCTTGCAAGACCAGAAATATTTTTAATATAAATGCCAAATATTTTGCACAAAAGATCAAATTTTGGCTCTGTAATCAAAATTCTTACATTAGATCTAAAATTTCTATGTCTAATGCAAATTCCATGATGTTTATATTCAAAATAATCACAATGTTATAAGAATTCCAGCTATGTAAATTATATTCTGGCCATGTAATTTGTATGAATTTTATGAGCTAAAACAAATATCTTCAGTAAATAAACATATTATACTTCACCCAGACACTATCTGTCAATCAAAATACCCCACCTCCGGCTCCCGCCCCCCTCCTCTTCCCACGCTCGCTGGGTCCCTCCCTACCCCCCACCTTCCCTCCCTACCAGAGAAATGTTTGGGTTAAAACAATATTCAGTGGTCCCTCGGTTAACGAGCGCCTCGGTTAACGAGATTTCGGTTAACGAGTTACCTTCCATAAGATTCTTAACTTCAGTTAACGAGCAATCCCTCAATTAACGAGTTTCTTACGAGCCGACCTGAATATGTTTTTGCTTGCATTTGGCGGTCCACCAGCTGTAGTATTAGTCCGCCAATACAGTAATCGGTTCTAGGGCTTAAATTCCTTACCATTTTAGCAAATATCAAGAAGTTTATACTATTCAATAATTTTAAAAGTTTAATATCAAAATTTTTAGTCATTTTAACAATTATTGAACATAATTGAAGGTCATGAAACTAGTTTTATGCACGCCATCCAGCTTCTGAACACACCATACAGGCGTCAGTCTTTGTGTCTTTTCAGTGGAGGTAACATCTTGCTTGAGACTCTCTTCAACTAAACGCTTTATTTCTGTGTTTCCAAGCAAATTATTGGTCATTTTGAAATTTATTTTACATATTGACAATATATAATGCAGTGAAGTGTTGATTTAAAGAAAATAATCTTGAATTACACCAAGTGAACTAAAATTTTATGGGTGAAATGGCGCCATGGGGTGACTTCTCTTCCACCCCAATGCCTTCTCTTCTCCCTTCTCCTCCACCCCCATTCTAATTCCCATCATCATCATCATCATCATCATCATCATCATCATCATCCAGGAGCCTTCTACATACACGCCTCAAAGTAAGTGTACTTTTCTACCTTTTTTGTTGAATTTAGGCAATTTTCGGTGAGCTGGAAGCAATTACCCAATGGTTTCCGTTAACGAGTTTTTCGGTTAACGAGCAACCTTCTAGAACGGATTGTGCTCGTTAACCGAGGGACCACTGTATTTACATTTTTAGTAATAAATAATACCTCAGACTAAAGTTAGGATAATATAATTGACATTGCTGGATTCCCAGCAAGATCAGGAATATTTTTAATATAAACGTCGTATATTTTGCACAAAAGATAAAATGTTGGCTCTTTGTAATCAAAATTCTTACATTAGATCTAAAATTTGTATGTCTAATGCAAATTACATGATGTTTATATCCAAAATAATCACAATCCTACAAGAATTCCAGCAATGCAAATTATATTCTGGCCGGGTAATTTGTATGAATTTTATGAGCTAAAACAAATATCTTCAGTAAAAAACAAATTATACTTCACCCGTGTAAATGAGTAAATTCATCGCGGAAATCGGGCATCCCGGTTCTGGTAAGGTACCGCGTAAATGACCAAACGCGTAAATGAGAACCGCTAAACCGAGGTATTACTGTATTAATATTTTTGTAATACCTGTACCTACTTTATATACCTACTTTTACTGTACCACCAAAAATTTCATGTAGATAAATGCAATAATTACATTTGCTGATAGGACATGATACTGACAGCTCTGTTCTCTTGTTCCACCTTAATAAAACCCTTGTACAAGTAATTATCATCTCCACAGTAAAATATGTACTGCATATACAGTACAGTACTTATACTATAAATGTAAAAATAAAATAAATAAAAAACGAAGTGATAACCGTGGTAACATTATGAGATGTTCTTATTACTACCATGCTATGTGTACTATTCCAGATGACACTAAATGTTACATAATACTTCCTTGAGATAAATGTATAGTATACAGTAGTACCCCGATTTACACTTTACGCGGTCAATTGAACCCACAGGGTACCGCGGAAAGTGAAAACCGCGTAAAGTGCACAACAGAATATATGGGATTAATTCCAATAGAGACTGGCCCGACCCCCAAACTCGACTTTTTCCGACACAATAACTATGTTGTAGTAAAAATAACATCTAAATTATATGTTGGTATGCTCACACAATTAATATTTACGAGAAATACAGTCGCCAGGTTAATGTCCATTCAAATAATGGACTCAAATCCCCCCCCCCCTCCCCCCTCTTCCCAGCTCACTAGCTCCAACCTCTCTGAGAAATGTTTGGTTGAAACCACTAGATTTTAACGTTTAGTAATAAATAATACCTCAGACTAAAGTTAGGATAATATAATTGACATTTCTGGATTCCTTGCAGGTCAGGGAATATTTTGAATGTAAACTTCATATATTTTGCACAAAAGATAAAATATTTGCTTTGTGTAAACCAAATTATTACATAAGATCTAAAATTTGTATATCTAATGCAAAATGCATGAGGTTTATATTCAAAATGATCATCATATTGTAAGAATTCCAGCAATGTAAATTATATTCTGGCCGGGTAATTTGTATGAATTTTATGAGCTAAATAAAAAAAATAAAAAATTATACTTCACCGTGTATATGAGTAGATGCACCGCGGAAAGTGAAAGTCTGGTTCTGGTAAGGTACCGAGTAAATGAGAAATCGCAGAAAGTGAAACCGTGTAAAGCGGGGTAATACTGTATAGCGATAAATCTATTTATTTCGCAAGGGAAATCGAGCAGGAAATATTTCAAATTTACCGCCATGACAAACAAATGTGTTATTTGTTCATCAGAGGCGTCATGGCTGCTCACTCACTCAGTCACGTTCGCCCGCACAGTCTTTCTGATTCAGCTCTTGCCACGTCCAGTGTTCACTGGTGCTTTAGTTAGTAAGAAAATAAACTTAAGTCAAGTGTAGTCACTTTTATTGGCCTCCAGAACCTAACCCTATTTTCCTCATTGTTTAAATGCAATAATATATATCCGATTTAGTATATGGCGAACATCCTTGGACCCTATCTCAGGATATATCCTGACCCTACTGTATTTCCTTTATTTCTAAGTCACATTAGAGTACTGAAATGATTCTCCGACAACATTTACAGTTTCATTACATAAATCAGTGGCAACATGTGTAGCCACCTCAAGGCCACAGCTGCCTGGCAATGCGTGTTATGTAGTGAAGATTATGCAGGTGTGTATAGGACCCACTTTCCCTTTCAGTTGAGATGAAGTGGATCACACTTACAATATTCTTTCAGTATATTCAACTCCAAATTTCTGCATTATCTCAGGAACAGTATTCATTGTCAACCATTGTGTATCCATCATGGTCAGGCACTTTCTGCTCTTTGGGACCTTGCCCGAACATTCTTGCTTGGTCATTGTTCTCACAATGTGTGTTAACAGTGATGTCTCCATTAGCGGGGACAATTGGTGCAGAGGACTTCTGGGAATGAGAGATGACTTCCGGGTAATAAGACAACTCTCTCAAAGCAGGAAAAAATTCCTCATCCCCGGAAATTTATGGGTAAGGGAAAACTGTTCTCGGAATTTCCAGAAAATGCACCTAATTTTCATCTCTCAAACCCGAAAAAAAACTCCCCCCCCCCTGGAATTTTCCGGGTACTGGGAAAATCTTCTCAAAATATTCTGGAAAATGTGCTAACGGAGATATTACTGTATTTATATGTCACGAGAAGACAAGCCTGCACTGAGTACAGTACATGTAATAGCCACAAATAAACTGAGTACAGTGTGGCTGTGTTGTGATGTGGGCAGGACCACGTGGTCCATGCTGCATCGCTCCTCAACAATAATAATGACAATTACGTTTTTTTTTTTTCCCATAAATTCATGTTGTGATTCAGACATGTCATTACTCAGGAGGTCTGGTACTCAGGGTATCTATAATGATGACACACATTCCATAGCACCTGACCAGACATGCCCAACATGCCAAACCCAGCAACTTCATCCTTAATTTGAAAACACTTATATAGCAGATTAACCCTCCACAACTCTCCGACTTGCCCAAGGATTAACTCTGATAAAAAATGACAAGTCAAGGTACCAGTTTAGGTAGTCCTGTAAGTCAGATAAGAAAATGAATAGCACTGTATGGGAACAAGCACAAAAGACTTCTGTAACCATGGTAACACCTTGGGAATAATTCTACCAATAAGTATTATCAACATTTAGATAAGACTTGGGTACTGTACCTTTAGTTTGATTAGTTCTCGAAGTTTTGGGTATTCTTCAAATCTGTCGGCCAGACCAACATCTCTAATGAAATTCTGTGGGCGCTGACCGGTATCGACAAAGTGCTGACAGTAGTCATTATGAGGGTTGGCTGACTGCGTGCCCTGGTGAAGACAATAATACATTCAAACTGAAAATGTGTAAAAGCAGGTAAATGGCATCAACAAAATCTTCTCAAAACATTTACATAATACATACCAGGCTTGGGATAATTACAGGACAAGAGTAACTGATTACATATATTCTGCTCAGATAATGAATTATTATTATTACCGTACAACTGTATCTGATCAACACACAAAATGACTGAGAGATTGTGCGGCAGAGTTCGGCAAACACAAGGTTCACAGTGTCCTCAAACCTCCAACACCATCCTTGCCTACCATCACAACATGAGTGATTTATACCACTTATGCAGCCATATTTTTTTCTTTGTAAATAATTACTATACAGTATACAGTCATCCCTTGGTTATCACGTCTAATTGGGACCACGCCGAGTGCGTGATAACGAAAAATGCGATAATGAAAGTAGAGAACCTATGGGATTTATTCTAATTGGTTCCAGGCACCCAAGACCCAAACCCAACTTTCCCATTTTACGACCATTTAGACCCACAAAATATATACAGGTTGACAACCCTTTATCCGAAATTCCAAAAACCGAAAAGCTCTAAAAACTGAAAGTTTTTTTTGGAGGGCAATTTTTTTTTTTTTTTTAAACAGGGATTAGCCCACCCAGGCATAGATCACTGACCCACATCAGGGCCTGGGGGGCGAAAATGTAATAGTAATAATAATTATTCATAGTAAATAAAAATTTTAATAAAAAATACACCAAAATAAAATAATGATAACAATAATAATAATAATAACAATAAAATAAGATAATAAAATTAATAATAATAGCAATAATACTGTAATAATAAAATAATAATAATAATAAAGAAATACAAGAATGAAAAAAAGATCAAAAGTGAGAAACACAACCTAGACCTATGAATTGTTATTGTTATTATAATTTTTATTATATTTTCGCCACCCAGGCCCCAATGTGGGTTAGTGACTTGTGCCCGGGTAGGCTAATATAAAAAAAATAAAAAATAAAAATAATAAATAAATTAACCATTCTGAAAATCGAAAAATTCCGAAATCTGAAATGCCTCTGGCCCCAAGGATTTCAGATAAGGGATTGTCAATCTGTATATATATGCTGTATATATAAATGTTATGGTAAATATCAGAAACACACAGAGGCATGGCTAGGTTTATTACAAAGTGATGAAAAGGGTACGCTCAATACTGTAGTGCACAAAACATGTAGCTATGCTGCCTTTTTTAATTTGTTCTCCCATCATAGGAGTCCGTTCTCTCTCACTTTAGGAAACCTGAGTCCTACGTTTTCTCTCAATCTTAGAGTGCACCCAAGACTTCGTTATTCCTTAGTAATGACACAGAATTTGATATTGCAACTGGGGTTGCATTTGTTGAGGCAACTTAGATATGTCTGATTACAGTTGGAATATTCAAGATCTATTGTGAGTGATGTTTAAGGCTTCAACTTTCAACTGTCTTTATGGTTGGTAAAACTTGTCAAATCTGTCAGTCTGAGTGGCATGTGTGAGAGCTTGTGTTTGTACAACCGCTTTCATTCACACCCACTAAAGATATAATGTTATGGTAATTATCAGAAACACACATAGGCATGGCTAGGTTTATTACAAAGTGATGAAAAGGGTACGTTCAATACTGTACAGTGGGTAGTCCACAAAACATGTAGCTATGCTTTCTTTACTTGAGTACCCCGTCATAGGAGTCCGTTTTTTCTTGCTTCAGGACGCCTGAGTCCTCCGTTTTCTCTCAATCTTAGAGTGCACCAGAGACTTCGTTATTCCTTAGTAATGACACAGAATTTGAAATTGCAACCCCAATTGCAACTGGGGTTGCAATTGTTGAGGCAACTAGATATGTCTGATTACAGCAAATGTGTTATTGTCAATCTGTAGGTGAAAGATTTTATCCTCAATACATGGAGGCAAATGCGTGATAACCAAATTCTCGGCTTGAAAAATGCACTATAACGGCAGGTGTGCAAATTTTGATGGAGGCGTGCGAAAACCGCGATAACCAAGTGCACTATAACCAAGGGATGACTGTAGTCTCGATTTACACGGATTTCATTTACGCGTTTGGTCATTTACGCGGCACCTTGCCAGACCGACAAATTTTATTTATGCGGTATTTTCCATCATTTACGCGGGAAGCGGCGCGGGCAGGGTGCGCACAAGGTCGCCCTGTCAACAAAACATTGCCGAGTTCTTCAACCACCACAGCCAGCCCAAGTCAGTGATAGTGAGGATATGAACTTTGAGGGGTTTGACAAAGAGGCCCTGCAAGCCTCTGTGGTGGATAGTGATACAGGTGAGGGCCAATAATCTGCCCTCTGCCTCAGAACCAGTCCCCCATCCGTGTACCCAGCCATCTCTTCTACTAACGTAAGTTTTAAAAAACCTAATATTATTGATATTTCTCTTAAATATTAATTGTGTGTACATATCATCATAAAATTAAGATGTTATTTTTACTACAACGTACGTATTGTGTCGGAAAAAGTGTAGTTTGGGGGTTGGCCCAGTCTCTATTTCAATTAATCCCATATGTTCTGTTATTTCGTTTACGCGTTCCTCGTTTTACGCGGACCTCCACGGGTTTAATTGACCGTGTAAATAGAGACTATACTGTACATAGTTAAATGTCTTAGAATGATGTGAGGATTCATTTCCAGTCCACTCCAATAAATAGACAAAGTTAGAGAGGAACTATACTACAGTACTGTATTTCATCAGAAAAGATGAAAACAACACCCAGACTTCATATGCACCACTGCACTACATCAGAGTTGGGCTAAAACTGAGCACCTATGTTAAATTTGCATGGGTGAAAGTGTTTACATGTAAGTCTTACCACATGTGAGATTTTGGACTGTTCAATTTTTTATCAGAAGGGTGGTTGGAGTTTCAAACTACTGTATTGTACCTACATGGAGTTTTCTATTTTCAGCCTTTGAGCCAAAAATCTGAGTATATTTAGAGATTAATCTTTAAGCAATGCATCCTTTACCAAGAACTGAAAACTAGGTCTTCATCTCACCAATTAAAATAATCCTCCATGTTCCTAAAAGCTGGTCCGGGCCATCATTTATTTTAGCTCCCTGATACTTGCCTCATCTACTTTTCATAAACCCTTTTATAATTTATATCTGTTGTTAAAATAAAAAACTCATCCACTCCACAAACTAAACTACAGATGTGCAATCACTTACACGTGAATATTCCAATTTAACCTGAATATTCTTAATCACCTGGATAAAAGAATCAAATTATGCCTATTATCAAATGTATGGGCATTTTAGGTGGTTCAACATTATTGCCAAGATTCAAGAACATCTGTCCAATGCCTTCATGAGTTACTTACTGTCAAGAAAATTTTTTTGTAACCTGATGTTTACATTTGAGATGATGGTGAATGTAATATAAAGCACAAATAAAAAAATAATTGGTTCCCGTCAAATCAAAGCAACAAGAAAGATATTAAAATACATCTCAGACCAATGTACATAACGGCCACATTCATTAGTAAAATAAAAGTAGTACAGTACTAATTTACTGATGGATGAAAATAAAAAATCTGCAGCCAATAAAGTTTGGCATTAAGTTAAACTGCTTGGCTTGGCTGGGAACATAATGGACCCAAAAGCACTTAGTATGATGTTCATATGTAAAAACTAGCAGGCTCCTCTACTCACCTTAAGGAATGTCGATGAATCTGTATACACCATATTAGCTGCTTCTTCTCCCTCAAGTTCCTCTTGCTGTCGAGACCTTCTGAGTCTCCTAATACGTTCTTGGTCATCTTGGAGCTTCCCAGTGTTACCTAGAGCCTGACCCAACTTGTCTGCACTCACTACTCCCAGCTGAAAGAAGAAAGCAAATGTACAGAACTGGATAGAAAGGTTAACTATGTTAATCTCTAATTTTTTCTCCACCAGATAAAATATAATAAAAATGTTCCAGGAAGATGAAACAGCTTACATATCTGCTGAATTTGTCCGTACACTTACACACTTCAGTAACAAGGCATCTCCATCTATATCTGTAAAGGTCTTACTGTAATAATACTAAATACACACCAGCAGAATCACCATTTCTTGTCCTCCATTTAAGTCTAAGAAATTTCCTTATACAGAAGAACAAATACAGTTGGCCCTTGACATACGCGGGGGTTACGTAACAGAGATACCCGTGGATGTTAAAAATCCGCGTATATGTGCTGCCCCCCCCCCAAAAACCTGGTCCCCCCCATGTCCTTATTTACCGTATATACCTGTGTGTAGTTCAAGTTTTTAAGACCAAATTATTTGGCAAAAAATTGGGGGTCGACCTCTAAACGGGTAATAGTTTCGTTAGGTTGAAAAATATTTCCCAGTAACTACCAGTAAACAATGGAAACGATGCACCAACGCACCACCAGCTGTGAGAGTCGGTACAGTTGCCAGGGCAGACCTCTTGTGTCATCATAGCAAGTCCAAAGTAGCCAAATCCATGGTATGGTAGCACAGGACGATGTAAAACAAAGTATTCATTTATTAAAGTTTATTTATAGATACTGTACATAAATTTTTGTTCATTACATTTGAAACATCAATCTTTGTTAATTAAATTTGAAACAAAAGAAAACTACGATACCGTATTTTCATTAAAATATTACATCACAAGTATATTTTACCTTAACTGTGACTGAATAAATATAGGTATTCTCAGAAATAAATATGGAAATATAATATTTTTGCTGGAATGACGTACATATTACAGTGGAAAGACGAAAACAATGACTTTCGCTTTCTTTCGTTATTCAAAAGATTTAACCGTAATCGCTTTTCGAATGGTTTTCAGTTAAAAAAACTGTTGTACTCGTACTGTATTACAATAATATTCTATCCTATCATTAGCCTTATAATCCCACAACTGAAAACCATTCGAAAAGCGATTACGGTAACATCTTTTGAACGAAAGAAAGAGAAAGTCATTGCTTTCGTCACAATTTTATTTCGCTTTCCACTGTAATACGTACATCATTTCAGCAAAAATATTACATTTCCATGTTCTCAGAAATAAATGGTAGTTTTGTTGAAACGTAATGTACAATATTTAATATTAAAATGCAAAAATAGCTATAAAAACAATTAATACACCCGTAATGTACTGGCTGGCATCTCCACTCGTCCCTGCTCCCGCGTCCAAGGTCACCACTCCTCCCAACTCGCTCCCTCCGCTCCCTCCTCTACCTCCTCCACCTCCTCTGCCTCCTCCACCCCCTCTGCCTCCTCCCCGTCACTACTGCCGACAACGAACACAAATGTTTTGTGAATAACTGCACCTCCACTTCCTATGTACAGTACTGAACTGTACTGTGCTGTGCATTTTTACAAACAATAAACATGGCAAGAAAAGCTATTAAAAAAAAAGAGATAAAAATTTCACTTTACTGTACAGTACCTATCCTCGGCGACAGGACGGGGGTCATCGGGCTCATCGTCACTCAATTCCATAACGGGTGGTGAAGTGGGGGCGACGGTGGATTCAGCTGCTTCCTCACTGCCGCCAGTGATTGATGGTGTTAAATCTCTCCTTCGGTGATCAAAGAACATGGTGATGGGGAGTTGTCGTCTCTTTCTTTCATTTCTTCCATGATGTTTTTGTATGGAGCAAAAACGTCATCCATCCCTCGCATGAATTTCAGGGCACGCACCATGGAGGGGTCCATACTATAGGCCAGGTTTTTCAGTGCCTCAATATTCCTGGTCATCTCCCCCAACTTCTCCAACGATATTTCTTGGTGCTCTTCCTCATCCTCTTTCCCTTTCGCTTCCTCTTCCTTGCCTGAGTCTACTAACTCCTGTAGATCCTCCTCGGTCAGCTCAGTGTCGTGCTCTTCAATTAGCTCCCTAATCTCGTCCTCTGCCATGTCCTGGAAGCCTTCAGCAGCCACTTTCCTTGACAGTGCCATACGGACAATAATAATCGTCTCAGGTTATCGTCATCAGTACAGTACAGAGTAGTCATAGATTGAGCTTTCATATTTACAATAATTATTTTTTAATTAATTAAAAATAATAATAAAGCCTTAGCAAACAATTAAATATTTTTAATTCTGGAGTTGGGTTAGGTAGAATTTAGCCTACTGGAGATAGCAACGGGTTGGCGATTCCTTAGCTTGCAGGGGACAGTAACTTCACATATAGGATGCAGGGTGATATTTTGTGCCATTTTCAGACAAAAAAGTGCATCTTATATGCCGTAAAATACAGTATGTTCTAATTGTACAAGTAAGGGGAATTAATGACCGCTAGTTGAGCATCGTCTGCAGTTGGAACTCTCCTCACTCCCTGCCATATTTCACTGGATCTACTACTATTATTAGTGTTTACTGATATAATAGTGCTTAATAGTGATTAATCATGGGATCGTAGCCAGGTTAGAATCGTCACTGTAACCACCAGGCTACTGGTGCCAAGCTGTGAGGTGTTGTGGGTGTTTTTCAACTCGCATTCTCGGGTAAATACATTATGTCCTTGATATATGCAAGTTCAGCATATGTGAATTCACCGAAGTGGGAAGACCCTATTCCTACCAGGAATTCGATTAATGCGAGCAAAATTCAGTCTTATGCAAGATGTCATACTCCCTGATATAGATTCCAACCCTGATGACTCTGCAGATGTCACTCCAACACCATCATCCACTATCACCTTTACAACCACCTCCATCGTCTTGTCTACCCAAGTTGATGTACTGTATCTGCTTTTATTATTAACCCTCTTGCACATGATGACACGATTCATGTCATATTCTTGATAAGACCAACTTGACGGTGATGCAAATCGAGCCACCAAACTTTAAATAAACTAATTGGCAACTCTCGAGGCCCACAGGAAGGGAAGAGCGGAACGATAAATGCGCAGTATTATCTCAGCAGCCAGACCGTGAGTGTGAGCCATGTCCATAAGTCTGTGCGGGTTGCCTCAACTCGGTGTCAAGAAGTCCCATCGTTACAGGCCTGGAACTGTCGCCCTTCGTGTGGTCTGCCGTTACCAGAAGAGCACAGAGCTACTCATCAAGAAGCTGCCCTTCCAGCGCCTGGTGCATGAGATCTCCAAGGATTTCAAGACTGACCTGCCACTTCCAGTTGTCTGCCGTCATGCAAGAAACCCCTGATTACAGTGCTTACCTTACCCGACTCCCTGAAATAATTTCCTTTTAGTGTTAGAGAAGTGATGGTTGTGTAATATAATATTTTTTTCATATGTACAGAGAAAATGTTTAGTTTTCAAAAGCCGTTACTGTATCAGGATGTACAGCCTTGTTATAGTGACTGTCTTAAAAAAGTCTCTGGAAGAGGATGATTATCTAAACTTACATGAATTTTATCAGCGCCATTTTAAAACTTCATTATAATGTTAGCTACAAGATGCAATATAATTTAAATCAATATAAAACATAGGCACTAAAATAACCCACAAAGATAAAAGAAAAACGATGTTATCATTTAAGAATTTTTTTTTCTCCAAAACTATGGGTCATATCATAACTCTGACTACTGCATTGGACAGCTCATAAAATTCTGCTTCTAGTAGTGTATAGTTCTTAAAAATTTGGCTCAGACAATTTTGAGCTAGGAAGTTGTGAACGTATTGGTGTGTATTTTTTTCTCTCATGTTTATTAGAAGTAACGAAAAACAGCTATACTGTATATATTTGAATTATTGTACCTGTATATATATTTTTTTTTGGGGTTTATGTTGCAGAGCATTCAGTTATTAAGTCTAAGATATATAATTTATGCCAATAAAAACACATTTTTTGGGGAAATTGATTAGGCAAAAAAAAAAAAAATCACTGTGCGCTGTCTTGCCTTCCCTGGGGGCCTCAAATATGTGATCTTGGAACTGGCAAACTTAAAACTTATCTCGTGCGTGAGAGGGTTAAGTACACTGTACTGTGTACACTTGCTTTATCTATCATTTTAAAAATAATATTGTATTGGACTGGTTTATGGTTTATGTGTCTTGAAAATGGGTCTGGAACATTTTCATTTTGGGTTGTTGAACGCATCCTATTTCTCCCATTTAACTAAATATTCAATATAAGCGAGGGTTATCAGGAACACATCCCTCGTATATATCGAGGGCTTACTTACACAACTTTCTTCATTTATTTTTACTCAGTTACATGCACACACCATCCTACACACAGAGTGAAAAAAAGGAAAAGAAATAATTGCCCTAATGGCAAACACAAAATGGAAGGAGAGCCCAGAGTATAGGGGTGGGGAGCTTTGCTTGGGAACCATGGTCCTAGCTGGTCTCCGCTACCATGGTGAATCGGGAGTGTATGTAAATGGCGACTGTGTTAAACTTTCATTTGGCTTTTATTTACTGATTTGGCAATATACAGTATTTTTTGTGGTAACTTATGTATTGGTCCTGCTGGCCAGTACAGGACAGGGTATATATACAATACAATATACGAAGTTACATTAATTTGTTTATTTACAATATATTGTGCATGTACATTGGTGTTGTACCATATTTTTGGTGAATTTTAAATTATTATTTATCGTTTTTATACTTCAGTACATTCGCCAGAAGATACTGACAATTGGCTTTTAGGGCAGGTGGTCCCCCGTTTTAGTCCAGATCTTCGAGGATCTGCATAGGTGTTTGCATAGGATTTACCTATGCAAACACCAATGTACATGTACAATACTGTATATTGTAAATTAACAAATTAATGTAACTACAGTCATGCGTTGCTTTATGTCCGTCCGAACAATGTCCAATCGCATTTATGTCCGTGGCCCATAAAAATAATAAGAAACTAATGGGGATAAAAAAAACCCGTTCAGACAACGGGACGTAGCGGACGTAAGTGGCCTTAGAGCAAGCGCTCACACATGCATCACGTGTTCTTGAACAAAATAGATTGTGTTGCCAGGCATATGATGATACAGTACTGAACCTGTTTTACTGTATGTGTATTATGCCTGTATTTTTTTACTACAGTACAATATATTAGCTAATGTGGACATTATGTTATTTTATTAGCCTTCTTAACCTCTGTGTTTCATTAGTTGTGTACATTATCTAGTGAATTTAGCCAATATTGTACAGTACAAGTACACTGCAACATTCCACATATACGTAAGTATAAATACAAAGTCTACAATGTGATGTTCGGACAACGTCCAATTCGGTTAACGTCACGTTTCCAAGAACGTATCTAGGACGTTAAGCGACACATGACTGTACATACTACTGGTTACAAGAGAAAAATAATACTGTGTGTACAGTACTTGTTCTTAATTTTGGACACCCTGCAACAATCAAGAAAAAGCCTGGAAAAATGCATGCTTTCAGTATGTTCACACTGCACATTTTCTTGGTTATAGTTTGTTAATGATGAGTTCTTGTTTGCATTTACACTCCTCGCCATTGAATTATGCGCGAGGTGGCCGACATGCTGAAGTGTCTCACACCCCTCCACGCCAGCCAGCTGGGGCTGAGGCAGGCACTGTAAATCTGGCAGCGAAGGGAGACTTGAGGACAAGTCAGCCAGCAATCAAAACGTTCGCCAGTTTCCCGTGTAAATTTTGTGAACGAAGATTTTTGTGTTTTACCCCCCCCGACAATGCTCCTATTTATTGCCACAACACCAGTTGTTTCTTTGCTTTTTTTACCACAATGGGCAAGAGGAAAGATTTAACAAAAGAGCAGATAGCGTCAATTATTAGTCTGCATAAGGGCAAGAAGCCTGTAAAGGAAATATCAAGAATTGTTGGTGTGAGTGAACGATCAGCTCAGGTTTGGATTAAACGATTTTGAGATGACGGCGGATTGGCAATACCAGTGCACAGCGGACGGCCAGGTAAGGTTCAATAAAATTCCCAACTCACGTTAACTGTTCTTAAGAGGCAACTTGATGCTAATCCACGTCTGTCAGCACGGGAATCGAGAGAAAAAACCCTGTACTTCTAGGTGATGTTTTTGTAAGGACTGTTCAACGCCGCATCCATGACGACCTGCAGTTTCACAGCCACCGCGCATCCAGGAAGCCACTCTTCACCCTAGTCCAGAGGCAGCGTAGGGTCGCTTTTGCCAAAGCTAACGCTCAGTGGGCTACGACCAAGTGGCAGTACGTGCTGTGGAGTGACGAGGCAACGTTTTCTTTTACTGGAAGTCGTACTTTTAATGTGTACAGGCGCCCCGGGAGCGATTCACTTGACCCCAAGTTCACTTTTAGCACAGTTAAGTATACTCAGTCAGTAATGGTGTGGGGTTGCTTCTTGTACTTTGGAACTGGTGATCTTGTGCTACCTGGGAATGTGATGATGAACCAATCTAACTGCTTGGAGCTGCTTTATGATTATTTGCCCGGGTCTTTTGAAAACTGCCGCACTGATGTGTTTATGCAGGATGGTGCCCCATGTCACACAGCAAAGTCTGTAATACAATGGCTTGTTGACTGTCAGGTAGACTTCATAAGTGATTGGCCAAGCAATTTGCCTGACCTTATCCCGATAGAAAATAAGTGGAGCATTAGCAAGCTTTGTCTACAAGGCAAGGACACAAATTCTGTTCCCAAGCTGGAGGCAGCCATTCGTGAGGAGTGGAATAATTTAGACCCACAAATAATCCACAACTTGGCAGAGTCAGTTCCTTCACACCTGCAGGAGTGTATCAAGAGAAAAGGGAGGCCTATAGACTACCGGAAGTTTGTTAACTTCTCAGATAATTTTTTTATTAATATTTCATCTTGTTGTTTATGTCCATCACGACCCCGTTCATAATGCAATGGCGAGGAGTGTACTTAACCTGCAAGGATTGTTCAGGATTAGACTGTTTTCTCTCACCTGCTGGGCCAGGAGTTGACGACGCAGCTTAGCTCGCTCCTTCATGTCCTTCATCACTTCATCCCCACTCATCATGCCAGTGAGGTGTAAGTCAGATTGCGTTAAGCGCTTCTCTGTTAGCCTATTAAGGATTGGAAAAAATTAAGAAAAAATAATATAGGTACAGTAGTGATGTTAAAATATATATTACACCCAAACAAGCAAACTAACTTAATTTAATTAGTCCATAAACAACTATAAACTATAAATACAAGTACTGTACAGCTGACCCTTAATGTTCATAGGGGTTAGTTTCTCAAAACTCTGCTAATGCAGAAATTGATAATGCGGAAACCAGGATTCAGTGGGTAAAAGGTTGGGTTTTTGGTATGATTGACCATAAGGTGGGTATATTCTGAATGTTTAAGGCTACAAGAAACACTGTAAACTTGTAAATAATAACAGGGATTAGCCTACCCAGGCACAGGTCACCGACCCACATCGGGGCCAAGAAAAAAAAAGTAAGTATAAATCTAAAAAATAATTATTTGTACATACTGTAAATATCGTCATGTTTTTCTTGGTAAAATTATAGTTTTGGTCATGTAGGGAATTTTGGTATTTTAAGTTTTGGAATCAGTAGTTTAGGCAATTCTAAGACACTTATCTTCTGAGGTATTTTTTCAGCTCATTATTATTTTCAGAGAAAATCACAATAAATATGGGAAAATCTCCGTATTTTTTCTAGGTCCTCGTTATTGTTATCACCATCTCAGAGCTCCTGTGTGTTCTTTTATTGGTTACTATGGTCATCGGTCATTACACATGCGCTTGAGTCTTTCACATGTGCAGTTGTTCTCCGAACGTTGATTGCCAGGTATGATTTTGGATCAACCAATCACAGCTTGAAAGAGCTGCCAGGCAGTGCGACGTGGAGTCATCCGAGTCTAATTAAGGTAAGGTTTAGGGTTAGGTTAAGCTAGATCAGGTTGGGTTGCATTTTGGATTATTCTGACCTTCACTTCTATTGCAAATTACAACTTCTTTTTTTTCCCCATCCAAAACCCCCATTAAATTTTATTGCGATTTTCTCTGAAAGTAATAATAAGCGGGAAAAATACCTTAGAAGAAAAGTGTCTTAGAATTGTCTTACACTGCGGACTCCAAAACTTAAAATCCTAAAAATCTCTGGATGACCAAAACGATAATTCTACTCTTTCGTTCCTATTGTGTTTCTGTCAGAAATTTATATTTGTCGAGTATTTTAATTGATAAAATTACCAACAATGTTACAGTACTTGTTTAAAGTGGGCAGGGCTTTGATAGTAGAAGTAAAATGTGTGGGAAAATACTACAAAAATACTAAACAAACTTTTGAAAACCTGACCTAACGTTTCCTAACCTTTAAAATTCCTAAATATAAAAGGTTTACCTTATTAATGTTTTCAGTGTTTAGTATGTGATGGTATTGTTTTCAGTGATCAGATGAGGAGGGATCCATAAACTCTTAAGTGATTCTTAACATTTTAACAAGTTAGGAAACGTTAGGTAAGGTTTTCAAAGGTTTGTTTGGTGTTGTTCTGAGTATTTTACCCACATTTTCCCTCCACTTCGAAGCCCTGCCCACTATGACTTTGAACAAGTTATATTGTTGGTAATTTTATCGGTTAACATACTCGACAAATATAAATTTCCGACGGAAACGCTATAGAAGAAAGGTGCCTTAGAATTGCCTAAACTACTGATTACAAAACTTAAAATTATAATATTCGCTACATAACCTTGACGATAGTAATACCCTTTTGTTTGGCTAATACAACAAATACTATTATATCATTACTTCAATTACATAAACAATGGAACGGCAAAACAGCTAAAAACAACCTGTCAGGCTATTTTGCTGCTCCCCTATTGGGGCGTTCTAATGCTTTGTCGCCTTGTACAGGGTGTAAAGGGGGTCCTACAATTTAGCCCATCCTGCTGGAGTAATGTCATAAACCCAAATTAATCGGTCTCCTCATAAAAAAGCTTTCAGGTGTAAAAGGATATTAAGCATCAACTGGAGTACCTTGGGAGGAGAGTCGACGCTGCTGGACTGGGGATGTCAACAACACCCCAACGCCCTCTGTGACTAGCACTATATTGTTCCTTTAGCTTTATCACTAAAATATTCTTATAACTTAACTGTATAAATTAGCGAGACTAGTTTGTATCTATTGATGTTTTTATGCTCGTCTCTAAACTTGTCCCTAGTCTTTTTACTACTTTTGTATAAATTTTGGTTTATGATATGTTTTATAGTTTTTCTTAAATTGGTTGACTGTGGTAGAATTTAAGGCGTTTTAACGATGCCCGGAATTGCTAACTCGATAACTTTACCGAACTGTCATTAAGAAATACGACATTGTACCGCGTCTTGGAAATAACTGTTGTACAAGTCTTCAGAAACCAAAAAAATTATAACTGTTATTTGGACACAATACGGAAAGAAATAGTGAAGAAAATATATAGAAAAAATATGGAAAGAAAGAAAAGGAAAAAATAGTAAATCAGTCAACACCAACTATGGCTTGATCCATTTTTTATACTGAAAGGTGTTCCACTATGTACTGTATTCTCTCTTCTCGCGGCTACAGTGTGTTGTTCGCATATATTATACACGCAATGCGACTAATTTCAGGATTGTTATGTCTTAATTTTTGCACGTACAGAACTGTAATAAACTTTTTCACCCTTATTTAAAGTATCTTATGAGTAATGATGTTAAAGTTTTTATCATATTTGAGTAATTGGATCATATGAAGATCCTCCCCCCCAAACCTACTTGGGGGGGAGGATCTTCATATGATTGATTTTTGCCGCTTGCAGCGGCTTTATTATGTACCCCACACTCATCCTGTGAGCGGTAGCGCAAGGATTACAGAGTAGGGTTTACAAGGGTCATAATAATTAACCCCGGTTGTCAGGATATTATGCTTCATATGATCAAGCCTGGATTGGGGGGGGGTAGGGGGGGTATAGGTTATTTATTTTATATTATATTATATAATTTATATTATTTTATATTATATTATTTAACCTAACCTTACCTAACCTAACCTAACCTAACCTAACTCAACCTAGGTTAGGTTAGGTTAGGTTAGGTTAGGTTATATGTTGGCGGGGATCTTCATATGAGCGCGACTGGGGGGGTGGATCTTCAGTTGGATACTTTGGGGGGGAAGATCTTCATATGATCCCCCTTTCCTATAATCTCCACTCGCAGGGTTGCCGGTGTGTTATCCAAGTTGGATGTGAGTAAGGCTCATGGACCGGACGGAATACCCCCTCGCGTTCTGAGGGAGTGCTGAAATTCTAGCCCCTGTGCTCGCTCGCCTCTTTCGCCTTTGCCTCAAAACCCAAAATTTTCCTTCTTCTTGGAAGCATGCCTCGGGTCAGCCCATCCCGAAGAAGGGTGACCATTCTAACCCCTCTAACTATCGCTCCATTGCCCTAACTTCATCCCTCTCTAAGATTTTCGAAACTATCTTGAATTCCCATTTTCTCCGTCACCTTGAACGCTTTCTCTTTTGTCGGATCACCAGTGTGGCTTTCGCCAGGCGAGATCTACTGGTGATCTGCTCTCCTACTGCACCCATCTTTGGTCATCCTCTCTTAGGGATTATGGGGAAACTTTTGTAGTGGCCCTCGACATCTCCAAAGCATTTGATAGGGTATGGCACAAGTCTTTGCTATCTAAACTTCCCTCTTTTGGTTTCTCTCCCCCACTTTGTTCTCTCATCTCTAGCTTCCTTGAGAACCGATCCATGGCAGTTGTTGTCGAGGGATCGATTTCTCGCTCTTTCTCTAACAATAGTGGCGCCCCACAGGGTTCTGTTCTTTCACCAACTCTCTTCCTTCTTTTTATCAATGATTTACTTCACACTACAACTAATTCTATCCATTCTTACGCCGATGATTCCACTCTTCACTCTTCCTCACATTTTCCCCTTCTTCCTAACTCTCAAACTAGATCTGTTTCTAGAACTGATATTGTAGTGGAATTCTCCCCTACAAACGCTGTTTGTCGCTGCCTAGCCGACCCCACCAATTCCCCAGTGTATGCCTCGTGGTCTAGGTCAACCAGCGCCGCCATACACCACGGAGCGGGGGTCAACTGCTAAGCCACGCCTACCCCCGCTATTTAAGACCTGACCTCGTGGTGATCTCTCTCTTTCTACCTACACCAACCAGCCAGCAACACCTCCTCCGCCTGCCTGGCGGTCCTCGCTCCTCCGCCTGCCTGGCGGTCCTCTCTCCCGCTGGCGAGCATGGCGACCCACAAGCTGTCCTTCTCTGAGCGTCCTCACCAACCAGCTCTCTCTACATCACGCTTGTAACCATGCTGCCTTCCCAGCACCAAGCTGCATTGTACATCCAATACAACATGTATATAGAGAGCACATTGTGAGTTTCCTTTCTCCATCCCATCCTGAGTGTGAACCAAACATCTCATACCCCACAAATGGTGACCCCCGGAGATTCGCACTCACACAGGATGGAGGAGAAACTGATCACGCTCCCAGTCTTCAAGCAACATGGAAGACTGGCTTATCCACCCAGAAGCAGCTATCATCGGCTCTACAGCTACTGTCTCTACACCGCAGGTTAGACACCCTAGAGCAGCTCTGCTACTCTAAGCAGACACCAGCTCCTCTTCCTGCCCCAAGCACCACGTCCGACCGACCCCAGCACACCCGTCCTGCCTCAGACGCCGACCCCGGCCCAGCAGTAACCCCTGCAGCCCTTGATGCGGCCTCTGTTCCTGAGTGCGGACACAGACACCCCTCTTTTCTCCCCCAGGTACTCCCTGCTAATGTCCTGCACCCTGCTGCTGTCGTGGACCCAGCTGCTGTCACGAGCCCTCATCCGTTTCTGCTGACGCAGCCCCTGCTCCTGACCCAGGCCCACACACCCCAGCAGGCGCATCTGACGACTCGGTACCTGCCGTGAGGGAAGCACAAAATTCATCGCCTCCACACACCCTTATTCTCCCTCTCTACTCCCACAGATATTGTGTATCTAGACAGTTGTCCCCAGCGACCGGCTCATCCACGCCATCGCCGTTGTCTCACATGAGGCACGCACCGCCCGTTCTGCCTCACATGTGCTATGCAACCCTGCAGACAACAAGTCTCCTACACAGCCTGGAGGGAAGGGGGAGTATTGTAGTGGAATTCTCCCCTACAAACGCTGTTTGTCGCTGCCTAGCCGACCCCACCAATTCCCCAGTGTATGCCTCGTGGTCTAGGTCAACCAGCGCCGCCATACACCACGGAGCGGGGGTCAACTGCTAAGCCACGCCTACCCCCGCTATTTAAGACCTGACCTCGTGGTGATCTCTCTCTCTCTACCTACACCAGCCAGCAACACCTCCTCCGCCTGCCTGGCGGTCCTCGCTCCTCCGCCTGCCTGGCGGTCCTCTCTCCCGCCGGCGAGCATGGCAACCCACAAGCTGTCCTCCTCTGAGCGTCCTCACCAACCAGCTCTCTCTACATCACGCTTGTAACCATGCTGCCTTCCCAGCACCAAGCTGCATTGTACATCCAATACAACATGTATATAGAGAGCACATTGTGAGTTTCCTTTCTCCATCCCATCCTGAGTGTGAACCAAACATCTCATACCCTACAATATCATTACTTCTATCAACGCGGATCTGTGCAGCATCTCTGAATGGGGAGATACAAACTTGGTCAAGTTCAATAGTAATAAAACTCAATATTTACCAATTACACTTTGTAGATTAGACGATCTCCCACCAATTACATTTCAGGAATCTATCATCCTCCCAAATTCCGAAATAAATATGTTAGGCCTCACCATTTCTTCGAATATGTCCTGGAAATCACACATCCTTAGTATAAGTAAAGCTACCTCCCGAAAGTTGGGAATGCTGTACAGATGCCGCAGCTACTCCACTCCTGAGCAGTTGCTCCAAGTATATAAGGGATTCATTCGTCCTAACTTGGAGTACTGCTCTCATATCTGAGGTGGCTCTTCTTCTGTCCAACTATTAAATAGGGTGGAATCAAAGGCATTTCGTCTTATTAACTCTCCACCTTTAGTCGACAATCTCTCTTCCCTTTCTCTTCGCCGCAATGTTGCTTCACTCTCTCTCTTTTACAGGTACTTTAACGGGCAATGTTCAGTAGATTTGGCATCCTCTGTACCGCCGGCAAGGCGGTGCCCACCGTTTCTCCGTGGATGTCGGTCACACGAGAATAACCCGTTATAGTACCTCCTTCTTTCCTCACACAGCCAAACTGTGGAATGCTCTGCCTTCTTCTGTGTTTCCATGCTCTTACAATCTGTCTCACTTTAAAGAGCTGGTTTTCCGGCATCTTCGTGGTGTAGATTGATACAGTATAACCTTTTTTTCATATTTACAATTTCTTTCCGTTCTTTTTTTTCCCGCCCCCCAGGCTCCGTTGTGGGTCATTTGACCTGTGCCCGGGTGGGATAATTCCCGTAAAAAACAAAAAACAAAAAAACCCAACCTGTTACACTCCTTCGGATAGTCCCACACGCACCTGATTCACCTTCGAGTAGTTACGCACGTAAGCACGCACGAACACACACACATATTAGGAATATAATAACATAAGAATGGAGGAAATTGCAGCGGGCGTATTGGCCCATACTAGGCAGTCCATTTTACACTTATCACTCGTATATCCGTCCAACCTATATATGAAGCTACCCAGCAGGTAACTTGTTCAACTCATCCACTACTCTATTTCCAAATAAGTGTTTACCTCTCTCGCGCCTAAATCTAAATTTGTCTCCTTTAAAACACATTGCTATGAGTTCGCTCCTGGTTAGATAGTTTGAGTACCTTTGTTATATCACCTTTGTTTAGCCCTACGTATTATTTGTACACATCAATCATTTTGCCCCTCACTCTACGTCTCTCGAGGGAGTGCAAGTTCAAATGCCTTAATCTGTCTCTATACTCAAGGTTCCTAATGCCCGGGATTATTCTTGTCATCCTCCTCAGAATGCTTTTGAGGGATTCGATATCCTTTCTGTAGTACGGTGACCAAAACTGAACCGCATAACGAAGTGTGGTCTCACAAGCTCAAGATAATAGTTTTAGGATAACCTCGTTAGTCTTGTAACTATAACTCCTTT